GCATGGTGGTATGTATGTATGGTGAGAACTGTATCGCATGGTATGTATGTTGGTGAGAACTGTATCGCATGGTATGTATGTATGGTGAGAACTGTATCGCATGGTATGTATGTTGGTGAGAACTGTATCGCATGGTATGTATGTACATGGTGAGAACTGTATCGCATGGTATGTATGTACGGTGAGAACTGTATCGCATGGTATGTATGTACGGTGAGAACTGTATCGCATGGTATGTATGTATGGTGAGAACTGTATCGCATGGTATGTATGTACGGTGAGAACTGTATCGCATGGTATGTATGTATGGTGAGAACTGTATCGCATGGTATGTATGTATGTATGGTGAGAACTGTATCGCATGGTATGTATGTACGGTGAGAACTGTATCGCATGGTATGTATGTACGGTGAGAACTGTATCGCATGGTATGTATGTACGGTGAGAACTGTATCGCATGGTATGTATGTTGGTGAGAACTGTATCGCATGGTATGTATGTGTGGTGAGAACTGTATCGCATGGGTATGTATGTTGGTGAGAACTGTATCGCATGGTATGTATGTACTGTGAGAACTGTATCGCATGGTATGTATATGTATGGTGAGAACTGTATCGCATGGTATGTATGTTGGTGAGAAACTGTATCGCATGGTATGTATGTTGGTGAGAACTGTATCGCATGGTATGTATGTTGGTGAGAACTGTATCGCATGGTATGTATGTATGTTGGTGAGAACTGTATCGCATGGTATGTATGTACGGTGAGAACTGTATCGCATGGTATGTATGTATGTACGGTGAGAACTGTATCGCATGGTATGTATGTACGGTGAGAACTGTATCGCATGGTATGTATGTTGGTGAGAACTGTATCGCATGGTATGTATGTTGTCTGGTGAGAACTGTATCGCATGGTATGTATGTACGGTGAGAACTGTATCGCATGGTATGTATGTATGTATGGTGAGAACTGTATCGCATGGTATGTATGTACGGTGAGAACTGTATCGCATGGTATGTATGTACGGTGAGAACTGTATCGCATGGTATGTATGTACGGTGAGAACTGTATCGCATGGTATGTATGTACGGTGAGAACTGTATCGCATGGTATGTATGTATGGTGAGAACTGTATCGCATGGTATGTATGTATGGTGAGAACTGTATCGCATGGTATGTATGTATGTATGGTGAGAACTGTATCGCATGGTATGTATGTACGGTGAGAACTGTATCGCATGGTATGTATGTACGGTGAGAACTGTATCGCATGGTATGTATGTACGGTGAGAACTGTATCGCATGGTATGTATGTATGTATGGTGAGAACTGTATCGCATGGTATGTATGTATGGTGAGAACTGTATCGCATGGTATGTATGTATGGTGAGAACTGTATCGCATGGTATGTATGTATGGTGAGAACTGTATCGCATGGTATGTATGTATGTATGTATCGCATGGTATGTATGTACGGTGAGAACTGTATCGCATGGTATGTATGTACGGTGAGAACTGTATCGCATGGTATGTATGTATGGTGAGAACTGTATCGCATGGTATGTATGTATGGTGAGAACTGTATCGCATGGTATGTATGTATGGTGAGAACTGTATCGCATGGTATGTATGTACGGTGAGAACTGTATCGCATGGTATGTATGTACGGTGAGAACTGTATCGCATGGTATGTATGTATGGTGAGAACTGTATCGCATGGTATGTATGTATGTATGGTGAGAACTGTATCGCATGGTATGTATGTTGGGTGAGAACTGTATCGCATGGTATGTATGTTGGTGAGAACTGTATGGTAGAACTGTATCGCATGGTATGTATGTACGGTGAGAACTGTATCGCATGGTATGTATGTATGTTGGTGAGAACTGTATCGCATGGTATGTATGTACGGTGAGAACTGTATCGCATGGTATGTATGTTGGTGAGAACTGTATCGCATGGTATGTATGTACGGTGAGAACTGTATCGCATGGTATGTATGTATGTATGGTGAGAACTGTATCGCATGGTATGTATGTACGGTGAGAACTGTATCGCATGGTATGTATGTACGGTGAGAACTGTATCGCATGGTATGTATGTACGGTGAGAACTGTATCGCATGGTATGTATGTACGGTGAGAACTGTATCGCATGGTATGTATGTATGGTGAGAACTGTATCGCATGGTGTATGTATGTATGGTGTAGAGAACTGTATCGCATGGTATGTATGTACGGTGAGAACTGTATCGCATGGTATGTATGTACGGTGAGAACTGTATCGCATGGTATGTATGTACGGTGAGAACTGTATCGCATGGTATGTATGTATGGTGAGAACTGTATCGCATGGTATGTATGTACGGTGAGAACTGTATCGCATGGTATGTATGTACGGTGAGAACTGTATCGCATGGTATGTATGTACGGTGAGAACTGTATCGCATGGTATGTATGTACGGTGAGAACTGTATCGCATGGTATGTATGTATGGTGAGAACTGTATCGCATGGTATGTATGTACGGTGAGAACTGTATCGCATGGTATGTATGGCTGTGTCATGTTGGGAATGGAGAGGGAAACGGGTTTCACTTTAATGGACCAGTTATGTTTACATGTGACATTTTGTAACATTACAAAATGATATTTAGGTAGATATATAGAGACTCTCACCCAAGTGTCTACTGATGTCAAATATATCAACTCGAGTTGATACAGTTACAAATATCCGAGGCTTGTCCAAGATATTTTTACCTTTATCAACGAGTGTTGATATAATTGATATCAGTAGGCACGAGGATGAGATTTTATTTATCATCAAAAGTCATTCTTCATAGTTTTCAATGAAAAATGTACATCTCTGAACACTTTACTACCATTAGACTTACAGTGCAGCGATATCAAGTTCATGACGCCATAGCATTGTCAGGATATTGTACAAAATCTACTGTCAAAGAGGATACTACCTTCCGTGTAATGCCTTTTTTATTAAACGAGTTAATGATCTGGTATCAAACGAGCGAAAGCGAGTTTGATACTAAATCCTTCACGAATACCATTGTGACCTCATAACTGTAAAATCGTTATGACGTCATACGTCTAGCGGTATTACGCTAGTGTAATATTACCGTAAAAATATTACACTGCGGTATCTTCCACGGGCGAGTAATAAATAACAGTATCTCCCTGGAGACATCGTATGATCTCTCACAATAAAGCAATATCTCAAGTGAAACCCAGTTTTGGATGATAAAATACTAATCTATGGATTTAAACACCATTCAAGATACATGTGTGAGGTTTAATTTGTTTTGGACGGCCGGGGCCAAGCCGGACCGAACAATTGTGACAGAGATAATGTTGAGAGACTGAGTGTGGGAAAAAAAATCGTAGGCTGGGTAGGCAGAGACAAGAAGGGTCACGTGGACTGGATTTGTTTACTTCATTCAAGTATGTTATAATATAACAACAAAATCCTGATTAATCGAAAATGTATTTTTTACAATCAATAATTATTTTCAATCCTCCTTTCGATCGATTTTCGGGTAGGCTGTGTGGGCAGGGACCACATGGGTCGGGTGGACTGGTTATGTTCCTGGGTAGGCTGTGTAGGCACATACATGATGGGTCGGGTGGACTGACTCTGTACCTGGGTAGGTTGTGTAGGCACAGACATGATGGGTCGGGTGGACTGACTCTGTACCTGGTAAGGTTGTGTAAGCAGACACCAGATGGGTCGGGTGGACTGGTCCTGTACCTGGGTAGGCTGTGTAGGCACAGACATGATGGGTCGGGTGGACTGACTCTGTACCTGGGTTGTGTAGGCAGAGATAGTGTGTTGGGAATCAGAAACCAAATCCCCTATCGATATCCGAGCACTTCTGGTGAATGATTGTCGATCATAATCGAAATATATACATTTTTAATGTAATAACCAATTTTAAGGGTTTCCCCAGGTTTTGTCTAATTAATGTTTTATATAACTAATGCTGTCATGCAATGAAATGCACATATGCAAGAAAGACACTGGAATTGTAATTAAACAAAGTGGCTTCAATTTTACAATGCTTAGTGCCATGTTTTCATTACTTGATTATTATATTCTATAATATTAAATATATATATACCACCATTCATAAGTATCCTAAGTCTGATTATACTCTACTATATTACTCTTCATGTTGCCTCTAAAAGCATTTGCTTGCATACACAAACAAACCATGATTTGACACTGAGACAGTCTGACACATTCACACTGCTGACAGCCGTTTATCTTGGATTGAAAATATCAAAAGTCAGTATTATGGTCAGTATAGATCGCAATGATATTGACGGACACAGATGGTAACAAACATTCACCATTTCACACCAACACATCAAAACATGATGAAACTAATGGCGAGATTTATTCATATTCAACACTGTATAAATAATAAAATTCGTTATTTGATCTATCAGGCCAGAGTTATGAAATAACGACAGATATCTTACCTTCCAGTCATGGTGTTACTTGATGTACCATTACATAATACAATGTACATTAACACGTGTATCAGCAGATGTTTGTACGAACCTTTGAAAGCATAGTTTTTGCCGCATAAGTGACAAAAAGTATTAATCATATCAAGGTTAGATTTATTGGGAGGTGGGGTCTGTTTACTTATACAACAAATATTTATCAGTATATTTCATTACGTTCACAATGCATGTAGAATTGTCATATGAAAGACAGGTTTAGTAACATTTCGTAATGAATACGAAACTTTACATTACACTGTTGAGCGCCTTTTCGTTTGAGAATGTCAAATTTAATGGTTTGTTTACTTCATTCAAGTATGCTACACTTAAACAACAAAATTTCGTTTCATGGAAAATCTGATTTTTACAATCGAGAATTATTTGTAATCCTCCGTTCAATTTATTTTCGATTATTTTCGATAATCGGAACACCACTAGGAAGAGGCCAGAGGGGAAAGGTGACCAAGATAGGCTGTCTAGGCCGAGACATGATGGGTCGGGGAGACTGGTTCTGTACCCGGGTAGGCTGTGTAGGCCGTGACATGATGGGTCGGGGGAACTGGTTCTGTACCCGGGTAGGCTGTGTAGGCCGAGACATGATGGGTCGGGTGGACTGGTTCTGTACCCGGGTAGGCTGTGTAGACCGAGACATGATGGGTCGGGTGGACTGGTTCTGTACCCGGGTAGGCTGTGTAGGCCGAGACATGATGGGTCGGGTGGACTGGTTCTGTACCCGGGTAGGCTGTGTAGGCCGTGACATGATGGGTCGGGGGAACTGGTTCTGTACCTGGGTAGGCTGTGTAGGCCGAGACATGATGGGTCGGGTGGACTGGTTCTGTACCCGGGTAGGCTGTGTAGGCCGAGACATGATGGGTCGGGTGGACTGGTTCTGTACCCGGGTAGGCTGTGTAGGCCGAGACATGATGGGTCGGGTGGACTGGTTCTGTACCCGGGTAGGCTGTGTAGGCCGAGACATGATGGGTCGGGTGGACTGGTTCTGTACCCGGGTAGGCTGTGTAGGCAGAGACATGATGGGTCGGGTGGACTGGTTCTGTACCCGGGTAGGCTGTGTAGGCCGAGACATGATGGGTCGGGGTGGACTGGTTCTGTACCGGGTAGGCTGTGTAGGCGAGAGACATGATGGGTCGGGTGGACTGGTTCTGTACCCGGGTAGGCTGTGTAGGCAGAGACATGATGGGTCGGGTGGACTGGTTCTGTACCTGGGTAGGCTGTGTAGGCCAAGTCATGATGGGTCGGGTGGACTGGTTCTGTACCCGGGTAGGCTGTGTAGGCAGAGACATGATGGGTCGGGTGGACTGGTTCTGTACCGGGTAGGCTGTGTAGGCGAGACATGATGGTGGGTCGGGTGGACTGGTTCTGTACCTGGGTAGGCTGTGTAGGCCAAGTCATGATGGGTCGGGTGGACTGGTTCTGTACCCGGGTAGGCTGTGTAGGCCGAGACATGATGGGTCAGGTGGACTGGTTCTGTACCTGGGTAAGCTGTGTAGGCAGAGAAACAATGGGTCGGGGGACTGGTTCAGTACCCGGGTAGGCTGTGTAGGCCGAGACATGATGGGTCGGGTGGACTGGTTCTGTACCTGGGTAGGCTGTGTAGGCCGAGACATGATGGGTCGGGGGAACTGGTTCTGTACCCGGGTAGGCTGTGTAGGCCGAGACATGATGGGTCAGGTGGACTGGTTCTGTACCTGGGTAAGCTGTGTAGGCAGAGAAATAATGGGTTGGGGGGACTTGTTCGGTACCCGGTTAGGCTGTGTAGGCTGAGACATGATGGGTCGGGTGGACTGGTTCTGTACCTGGGTAAGCTGTGTAGGCCGAGACATGATGGGTCGGGTGGACTGGTTCTGTACCTGGGTAGGCTGTGTAGGCCGAGACATGATGGGTCGGGTGGACTGGTTCTGTACCCGGGTAAGCTGTGTAGGCCGAGACATAATGGGTCGGGTGGACTGGTTCTGTACCTGGGTAGGCTGTGTAGGCAGAGACATGATGAGTCGGGTGGACTGGTTCTGTACTGGCGTAGGCTGTGTCTCCCGGACATTTCAGGGTGTGAGTGCATGAGTAACCCAATAACATGATGGGTCGGGTGGACTGGTTCTGTACCAGGGTAGGCTGTGTCTCATGGACAGTTCAGGGTGTGAGCGTATGAGTAACCCTATAACATGATGAGTCGGGTGGACTGACTCTGTACCAGGGTAGGCTGTGTCTCCCGGACAGCTCAGGATGTGAGTGTATGAGTAACCCTATAACATGATGAGTCGGGTGGACTGACTCTGTACCAGGGTAGGCTGTGTCTCCCGGACAGCTCAGGATGTGAGTGTATGAGTAACCCTATAACATGATGGGTTGGGTGGACTGGTTCTGTACCTGGGTAGGCTGTGTCTCCCGGACAGCTCAGGATGTGAGTGTATGAGTAACCCTATAACATGATGAGTCGGGTGGACTGGTTCTGTACCTGGGTAGGCTGTGTCTCCCGGACAGCTCAGGATGTGAGTGCATTAGTAACCCTATAACATGACGAGTCGGGTGGACTGGTTCTGTACCTGGGTAGGCTGTGTCTCATGGACAGTTCAGGGTGTGAGTTAGTGAGTAACCCTATAACATGATGGGTTGGGTGGACTGGTTCTGTACCAGGGTAGGCTGTGTCTCCCGGGCAGCTCAGGGTGTGAGTTAGTGAGTAACCCTATAACATGATGGGTCGGGTGGACTGGTTCTGTACCAGGGTAGGCTGTGTCTCCTGGACAGCTCAGGGTGTGAGTGTATGAGTAACCCTATAACATGATGGGTCGGGTGGACTGGCTCTGTACCAGGGTAGGCTGTGTCTCCCGGGCAGCTCAGGGTGTGAGTGTATGAGTAACCCTATAACACGATGGGTTGGGTGGACTGGCTCTGTACCAGGGTAGGCTGTGTCTCCCGGGCAGCTCAGGGTGTGAGTTAGTGAGTAACCCTATAACATGATGGGTCGGATGGACTGGTTCTGTACCAGGGTAGACTGTGTCTCCCGGGCAGCTCAGGGTGTGAGTGCATGAGTAACCCTATAACACGATGGGTTGGGTGGACTGGTTCTGTACCAGGGTAGGCTGTGTCTCCCGGACAGTTCAGGGTGTGAGTGTATGAGTAACCCTATAACATGATGAGTCGGGTGGACTGGTTCTGTATCTGGGTAGGCTGTGTCTCCCGGACAGCTCAGGGTGTGAGTGTATGAGTAACCCTATAACATGATGAGTCGGGTGGACTGACTCTGTACCAGGGTAGGCTGTGTCTCCCGGACAGCTCAGGATGTGAGTGCATGAGTAACCCTATAACATGATGGGTCGGGTGGACTGGCTCTGTACCAGGGTAGGCTGTGTCTCACGGACAGCTCAGGGTGTGAGTGTATGAGTAACCCTATAACATGATGGGTCGGGTGGACTGGCTCTGTACCAGGGTAGGCTGTGTCTCCCGGGCAGCTCAGGGTGTGAGTTAGTGAGTAACCCTATAACATGATGGGTCGGGTGGACTGGTTCTGTACCAGGGTAGGCTGTGTCTCCCGGACAGCTCAGGGCGTGAGTGTATGAGTAACCCTATAACACGATGGGTCGGGTGGACTGGTTCTGTATCAGGGTAGGCTGTGTCTCCCGGACAGCTCAGGGTGTGAGTGTATGAGTAACCCTATAACACGATGGGTTGGGTGGACTGGTTCTGTATCAGGGTAGGCTGTGTCTCCCGGACAGTTCAGGGTGTGAGTGTATGAGTAACCCTATAACTCCAAATGTGAAGCTATTTCTGATGTTGTCACCTGGTACCTATACCTATACAACACACCCTTCATGTCTGGTTTCTTTGGTAATATTCTGCAGGTCACCTTCCTCTGTTCTCAGTGCATGCCCGATATAGTACTCAAACAATGTAGCTGAAGCAACATAGTTTATTATGAAAATACTTCAAGTCAATGAAAGACACACATAAGAAATATACAGTGTATTGCATAGATGTTGTTTCAAGTAGACTGACACACACCAGGTTGGTGGGACCAGAATCATTAATACCTCACACTTTGTCAATACCTTCACCATTAATACCTCACACTTTGCCAATACCTTCAGCACTAAGATTTTTGTTGCTAAGAACTCAAAAAGACATAACACTAAGATTTTGTTGGAATATAATCCATAAATTCTGTCCAATAAAAATTCTGAGCAACCTTAAAAACAAAAAAAGGAAGAATAATTTGGGGTTTGAATTCATTCCTTCAATTTTGTTCAACATTTGGATTAAATAATGTAATGTAGTCTGTGTAATGAGAGATTTTTAAAAAAGTACATTTATGTCACCATATGTTGGTAATTACAACTGTTTAAAAGGGTCAGAGGGCATTCATAGCCAACCCCTTGCTCCCATGTATAAAAAGATCAATATTAAGAAGTAATGCATTTGACTTATCACAGAAAACGTTCACATCTTTTACCTATGCATACAAGTTCACTGAAAAATGTGACATTAAAATAAACTATTCAGTTCTTTTATATTCCATTAATTGTTAAATTAAAAGTTTAAGTGTTTTAAATTCTGTTCCACCACCAATATATATCTAAAATATTTGATCATCTCTAAAGAACTAAAAGGAAGTATTCTGCTATGAATGTTTCTGGGAGACACAACATCTGATATGTCACCCCACACTGTACATGGTAACCACACTACATCAGCTGCAGGTTACCCCACCCCACATGGTAACCCACACCACCCAGGTTACCCCACCCCACACAGTACATGGTAACCTCACCTGACTACAGCAGCTGCAGTTACCCCACCCCACACAGTACATGGTAACCTCACCTGACTACAGCAGCTGCAGGTTACCCCAAACCCCTCATACAATCAGGATGAAAACAGCTAGGAAGGTATTTATTTAATTTTAATGCCAAACAATATTCTGTCTCAGACCAATACCAAACCAAAGATATATGTCATAAGGAAAACATAAAAACCACCACATCCACAAAGGAGAACATAAACCTGCGAGACTCCCTCTCCCTATATAAGACAAGTTTAGATGTGTACCAGACACTCTTGGATTGTATGAGAAAGAAGAATTTGACTGAGATATGCCTTCCAATATGGTTTAATTATTATAAAACAATAATGCCACAAAAATACATTAGAATTTCTTCTTTTTAATTTAGGCTCAAATTTATAAAATAAAAAAATATATCTGGTTTTGAAGGGGTAAGTGAGAAAATAACTAGCCTCCATAGTATCAAAAGCCAGAACATGACCAAGAACACATCAACACTTTCGTACACTGCATCATAATATGAATGTGTCCTGGAGATACACAGCAAGGTTCTGTAAAATAGGATTACTTTTAAATATTATCCTTTACAGCTACAGGATTAACACACAAATATCTGGGTAAATATATCTCCCTCAATATATCACCACACGATAGTATATCAAAAGTGAGATTCATCTTCACACAAATTCATTTCACAAATTTCAGATTCTACTCCTTCAAGACCATAGGAATATTTACACCTTGAGCGAGATTCCACGGAGAGTTTGATACTATTGATACCCTACAACATATCACCAGTCATCCTGGAGAACATCACTGCAGTGATGTCATATGAGGAACGATTTTCAGTTAGTTGTATAGAAAGTGTGTAGCGGGTGAGAATTGTGCACTGTTGTCAAAAAGGTCGATTTAAGTTAATTAAAGACCGAAGTGAGTAGTTTTAATGACGGGGTTTCATTTATAGCGATGCCAGTTAGTGATTTATGTATTTGTAACCCCTAGAGTATATGCGATCTTTAAAGCTGATAAATGGAATGTTATTTATAGAAATATACAGTTGTATGGGAAACCAAAAATATATATTTATCCCCCTGTGACCAGCAATAAACACTCCTGGACACAGGTAAAAATGACAGAATGCTGGATTAATGGAGATTGTTTGCAATCCTACCTACAAAATAGTGATTAAAGCACAAGTGACTGTTAGACTTAAAGGTTCCACAAATATGCTGGTATGTAAGTACATGACCGTCACTAGATCTATCGTTACTGACGCAGGGTGTTGGAAAACAGGAAATATTGTTGTCTACTACTGCGTGACAAACAGAGAAAATATCTGAACATAGATTTGAGAATTTAAATAATGCTGATGCTGACAGCAGGTGACCACTGGCTCCCACTGCACCCAGAAAGATTGTTTGACAACCCTGTTTATTTCTAAAATATCTTTTTCAAAGTCAATTATTAAACATTTGACCTTTTTCCTTTATTTAGATATTGTGAAATATATTTAGTGTCTAGTTCAGATGCATCTTCTGAACAGATCTGTAACAATGAGAGACAAGGATGCAGGATATAGGGCAAGTTAGATCTGGTTGGAAACTGGCTGTTTCCGTCCCACAACTTTGAACGTCATCGCACGGTCACGGGTTGTGTTGGGGAGATTTGCCTTGTTAAGGCGAAGATCATCCTCATCAGTGCTTGGAGAGTAGGACAGGTCGGTGGAGACGAGAAGTGCTCCCTGAAAACAGTAGTTACAGTCCTTCATATTTAGGGGAATATGCAGTCTAAGTAAACTTAGGCTCAGTATTATTCATTACACTGCTATACTGAGTCTAACAAAACCTAGTAGAAGGTCGCATCAGCTAACCTTTGAGGGACCTATGACTGTCCAATCAAACTGATCAAAATCAATCGAGCTGATTTAACCAATCAGACAACGACTACTTGTTAGGGTTCGGCACGACTTACAAAACAGTTTTGGGATTTTCTCTGCCCTGGTCGCTGACACTGATCTATCAACAAACTCCGCATAAAACACAGATATTTGACCTGCATTATATACGCTTATGGGTTTCTAATGACATTGTTACTATTTGCTTATATTTTCGCAAGATGACATCCTTGAATATCAACAAAAACGCTATTTTCAGCGACTGTTTATTTATTGCGTGTATCACTCGGAAGCGATCATGCTGAAAATAGCATTAGGAATTGTTCGAGTTTTTAGGTAAAGGTTCAAACAGTATGTGCGAATGTTAACTTTTCGCAATTTGGTAAGCTGTGTTCTGATTGGTCAGTTCAAAAGGTTAGCTGATGCGACCTTCTACTAGGTTTTGTTAGACTCAGTATAGCAGTGTAATGAATAATACTGAGCCTAAGTTTACTGGGGGAATATGGAGAGGGATAGAAAGAGAAAAACTGCAGATCCTTAAAAGAGCAGTACTATTTTGATGTCACAGGAGATTTTGATACTTTCTCCAGTCGTCCTGAAATGATGCAGCATCAATAGCTAATTATCACTGAGTTTAGATGTCTGAGTTCTACCCAGTCCAAGAGTGTGGCATGTCATTACCTGCACCGTTACATCACAACACCAAAGTCTTTCATGCCAGACATGTTGCGGAGACAGCTCAAAGTCCCATGTCAGGATAAACCTGATACATTGCTTCTTACATCACCACGGCCTTCATATTGACCAGGGTGCCGTTGTACAAAACAACCTTAGCGCTAAGGCTACCTTAAGTCTACGTTAATGAATGTGAGTTACGGTAACCTTAGCGCTAAGATCGCTTTGTACAACGGCACCCAGTACTGACCATGTCGCTACCACGCTTATCATATGGGAACAGGGTGCTGGCATAGCACCAGGGTGTTTGGAAGATGCAGCATATCACCTGCTGGTTACCATGGTTACTAAGTGACCTGATTGCACCAACCTTGAGAAGGGTGAGATGAGCATTGGTGAAGTGGATGTTGTCTGTTACAGGCAGAACCAGTCCTTTCTGTCCCTGGGCTACAACATACAACAACAACATGGGCACCCGGTGGGATAAAGTCATGTGACTATTACCCTCTAGCACCTAACAGGCAGCTTGGGTTGTCTGGGGTAATAATAATCAGATTTTTTGGGCACTTTGAGCATGCATTGTGCGTGGAGCAATGAGCATGATAAATGGACTAGTATTAACAGACTGTACAACATACAACAATACACTATACAACATAAATACATGCCTTGTTTCAGGCATATCAATTTCTTTTTATTCCTTATACAACATTCCAAGAAACATCAGGTGAAAGGAGCAGCAATTAGCTCTGAAACATCCTGTAGAAAACTAAAAACAATTTGCTTTACACAGGTTATAGAGCATAACCTATTTGCTCTTCCCGCCAGGAAGTAATTAATGCATTAATGCATTTGTTAACTAAGGACTCGGCTGCCAAACTCACCGTTAAGCTGTGGAAGGACAAACAGATTGATAGCAGTGTTCATCACCAGCTGGAGGGCTGTAGACTGCAACACAAATATAGCCAATCAAAATATCGGCCTGACAACCTTCAGCAACTTCATCTAGATGCCTTCTAATACAGAGGCAGTGTTTGAAACAGATCATGAGTTGGACAACACTATCTTGTTTACCATATTCGCTGTATAAACGGCCCTGCTCCATGAAGCATCTCTGGGTCAAGTCTGTAGCTATTCTTTATGAACTGTGACGGCATCATCCTGACAGTCGCTACTGTCCTGTCAATATTACATCCAGACACAACCATGTAGACGGGGGAAATATACTTCCTTCCAAAACTTTAGACTCACTAGTGTAAATATAGCCACTTACTTCAGTCAACTGTTCTAAACTAAATTTTCGAAAATATTCCATACTGTTTAGGAGTGCTGTTTACACATGACCTGATGTATTGTAAAACAAATTCAAAACGTTTAAAAGATTATTGTCATGAGTTCAATAAATGATAAAAATCAGTGAAAATTTGTGAATTCTGAACAAAACTTTACACCAAATTGCAGCTGTTCCCATGCACAATATTTGAACATGCTTTTCAGCAAAATGATACATGATCCTCGTGCAATTCATCTGCATAAGATTTGCAGTTGGTTCCCCCAAGTTAGTGGAGAAATCAATCTTCGATGTGTATTAAGTGAGTCTAAACTTTTGAAAGAAGGTATAGTTGACCAGAAACTAGTATTGAAACAGTTTATTGTATAGGTATCCACCTGCCTATCATAGTCTTAGATGCAGGTAAGAGATAATGAGGAGGTCTGGCTTGGTGGAGAGAATGTTTTTGTTCCCTTGATGGCATTGGTCCAACTACTTGTTGATCACAGTATCAGTCCGTGGACTGGTAACATGTTGATCACAGTATCAGTCCGTGGACTGGTAACATGTTGACCACAGTATCAGTCCATGGGTTGGTGACTTGTTGATCACAGTATCAGTCCATGGACTGGTGACATGCTGACTACAGTGTCTGACTGACTGGTGGTATCACATGTTGCTGATCACAGTATCAGTCCATGGACTGGTGATGTTGATCAGTATCAATCCATGGACTGGACTGGATCTCTGTATCAGTGTTGGCGACTTGTTGATCACAGTATCAGTCCATGGTGACTTGCTGATGTATCAGTCCGTTGGTGACATGTTGATCACAGTATCAGTCCACTGGTGACATGTTGATCACATGTATCATGGTGGACTGGTGACTTGTTGATCACAGTATCAGTCCATGGACTGGTGACATGTTGATCACAGTATCAGTCCGTGGACTGGTGACATGTTGACCACAGTATCAGTCCATGGGCTGATGACTTGTTGATCACAGTATCAGTCCGTGGACTGGTGACTTGTTGATCACAGTATCAGTCCGTGGACTGGTGACTTGTTGATCACAGTATCAGTCCGTGGACTGGTGACTTGTTGATCACAGTATCAGTCCGTGGACTGGTGACTTGTTGATCACAGTATCAGTCCGTGGACTGGTGACTTGTTGATCACAGTATCAGTCCGTGGACTGGTGACTTGTTGATCACAGTATCAGTCCGTGGACTGGTGACTTGTTGATCACAGTATCAGTCCGTGGACTGGTGACTTGTTGATCACAGTATCAGTCCATGGACTGGTGACTTGTTGATCACAGTATCAGTCCATGGACTGGTGACTTGTTGATCACAGTATCAGTCCGTGGACTGGTGACTTGTTGATCACAGTATCAGTCCGTGGACTGGTGACTTGTTGATCACAGTATCAGTCCGTGGACTGGTGACTTGTTGATCACAGTATCAGTCAGTCAACCCCCAAAAGTACAAGAATCTCTTCTTTCTTGAGAAAGTGTAACCCCAAATACAACATATGTTACACTTACAGAAGTGTGGACTGTTGTGTTTTGATCGGGTAACAAGACAGGAAACTGAATTGTAACGAGCCAGATGGGTTGTTCTCGTAGTTACATCATCACAGGTGGTGAGATTCATAACATACCTTGAAGACTTTGCTTCAAATGCTACAATTTCTAATTTCTGCCACCATGGCTGAACAAGCTAAACAATTCTATTTAAGAAAAAGTATTATTGAATGGCTTGATTCTTCTTGTAATCTGAAAGAGCAAATGTCCGAACCTGAAGACTCACTTCAATAGATGACTTACCGACACTGGGCCAACAGTAGAGTTCTTCACATCCAGCTGGAGGCTGTGGACAAAACAAACTACAATGAGAACCACAAAGACTACAATGTCATAAATCAGGCATATACTCTGATAATGTTCATCCCACTCGCCCCTGTCTGTCACCTGTAAGAAGAGTCATCCAGTGATCACCTGTATGAAGACTCATTCAGTAATCACCTGTATGAATACTTATCCAGTTATCACCTGTATGAAGACTCATCTAGCAATCACCTGCATAAAGACTCATCCAACAATTACCTGTATGAAGACTCATACAGCAATGACCTGTATGAAGACTCATCCAGCAATCACCTGTATGAAGACTCATCCAGCAATAACCTGTATGAAGACTCATCCAGCAATCACCTGTATGAAGACTCATCCAGCAATTACCTGTATGAACTCATACAGCAATCACCTGTATGAAGTGATCACCTGTATGAAGACTCATCCAGCAATCACCTGTATGAAGACTCATCCAGCAATCACCTGTATGAAGACTCATCCAGTGATCACCTGTATGAAGACTCATCCAGTAATCACCTGTATGAAGACTCATCCAGTCACCTGTATGACATCCAGCAATATGAAGACTCATCCAGCAATCACCTGTATGAAGACCCATCCAGCAATTACCTGTATGAAGACTCATACAGCAATCACCTGTATGAAGTGATCACCTGTATGAAGACTCATCCAGTGATCACCTGTATGAAGACTCATCCAGTGATCACCTGTATGAAGACTCATCCAGTGATCACCTGTATGAAGACTCATCCAGCAATCACCTGTATGAAGACTCATCCAGTGATCACCTGTATGAAGACTCATCCAGTGATCACCTGTATGAATTGATCACCTGTATGAAGACCTATCCATTAATCACCTGTATGAAGACTCATCCAGCGATCACCTGTATGAAGACTCATCCAGTGATCACCTGTATGAAGACTCATCCAGTGATCACCTGTATGAAGGCTCATCCAGTGATCACCTGTATGAAGACCTCCATCCAGTGATCACATGAAGACTCCTGATCACCTGTATGAAGACTCATCCAGTGATCACCTGTATGAAGACTCATCCAGTGATCACCTGTATGAAGACTCATCCAGTGATCACCTGTATGAAGACTCATCCAGCAATCACCTGTATGAAGACTCATCCAGTGATCACCTGTATGAAGACTCATCCAGCAATCACCTGTATGAAGACTCATCCAGCGATCACCTGTATGAAGACTCATCCAGTGATCACCTGTATGAAGACTCATCCAGCGATCACCTGTATGAAGACTCATCCAGTGATCAATGAAAGTTATGTTTGAAAACACAACAAACAAATCAAAATGCAGGCATGACTTCAAGTATTCTGCTCATAGAATCCCTCAGAAATATAACTCAGATACAGTTAACTGTGTGATCAAATCAGCTACTTGTTAGATGTGTTTTAAATACCATCTGCAGTATATATTACAGATGCAGGAAATATAAGAGAAACATTGTGCAAAAGTAAAGATCACCTATGAGTTGATAGTTCATCATCATCATCATCATCATCATTGGATATCTATATAGAGCACATATCCACGCACTAGTACATGCTCAAGGCGCTGGTATTTTTACCCTCGATCATTGGATGTCAATCTCAACGGCACATCTTATTATCAATCTCAGCTCCCTGGGTATCATACAACTCTTGCTGCCACAAGGCGCACCGAGTTATTGCGGCTTTCCCATCCTTACGAGGTACCCATTCACAGCTGGGTGGACTGGGACACATAGTAACAGTACTTTGTCCAAGTTTACTGCTCGCTTGCTCTCAGATGGATCCCAGCTGGAAAAATAGCCACAAGAGCGGGCAATTCGCTATGCGGCCTGGCCTAGAGTTGGTCATGAATGACTTTGGGATACTATATCAACAGACAATAACTTCATGCTGATGCTAGCTCAAACTGAAAACCTGCATTTATCCAGGTAGTTGAGGGAGACAAAATAACACTCGATGCACATGTCATTTCTTATGAGCTAAAAGTTTAACAAAAATGCAACATCTGTCAGTTTGCTACTGGACGCCCTGGTTAGTCGGCTGAGAATGAACGCTGGATACCTACTTTGTACTGGTAATCTTCCCCTTCACAAGCTGTCTGTCTATGTTGGCAGTCACCTTGGCAACAAGCACCTGCAGAAATGTCATAGGAGGAGATGTCATTGTCCATTGTGTTAACATCACAGCAGTTGAAGAAACAAGTTTACTGGGTGATTCTAGACAGTAAACACTAAACACTCAGCTTCAATACTCCACTTTCCAATATATATCTGCTCAAATGTTCCAGACCAAGATACCTATATTATGTTAATACCATGGTCAGTATGTGCTTGAATTTTATTTGCTTCTCCCTTGGGAGCATTCAACCAAAGCTTTCTCATCAGAAGTCACATCTCATCCTATCTGGTAGCCATACACTGCTTCTGAACAGAGGCATATGTTGAACAAAGTTTAATGACCATCTCATCCTATTTGGTACCCATTCGGTACCCATTCAGTGCTGACTGAACAGAGGTATATGTTGAACAAAGTCACATGACCATCTCATCCTATCTGGTACCCATTCACTGAATGAGGGGTGTCTGTACACATACAGTGGAAGTTGTTTAACTGGCACTCATCAGGACACATACAGGTGGGAAGCTGTCTAAACCAGCACTTTATTACACATACAAAGGGGTGTCTGTACACATACAGTGGAAGTTGTTTAAACCGGTACTCATCAGGACACATACAGTGGAAGCTGTCTAAACCAGCACTCGTCAGGACACATACAGTGGAAGCTGTCTAAACCAGCACTCATCAGGACACATACAGTGGAAGCTGTCTAAACCGGCACTCATCGGGACACATACAGTGGAAGCTGTTTAAACCGGCACTCATCGGGACACATACAGTGGAAGTTGTTTAAACCGGCACTCATCGGGACACATACAGTGGAAGCTGTTTAAACCGGCACTCATCGGGACACATACAGTGGAAGCTGTCTAAACCAGCACTCGTCAGGACACATACAGTGGAAGTTGTTTAAACCGGCACTCATCGGGACACATACAGTGGAAGTTGTTTAAACCGGCACTCATTGGGACACATACAGTGGAAGTTGTTTAAACCGGCACTCATCGGGACACATACAGTGGAAGTGGAAGTGGAAGTTGTTTAAACCGGCACTCATTGGGACACATACAGTGGAAGTTGTTTAAACCGGCACTCATCGGGACACATACAGTGGAAGTTGTTTAAACCGGCACTCATCGGGACACATACAGTGGAAGTTGTTTAAACCGGCACTCATCGGGACACATACAGTGGAAGTTGTTTAAACCGGCACTCATTGGGACACATACAGTGGAAGTTGTTTAAACCGGCACTCATCGGGACACATACAGTGGAAGTTGTTTAAACCAGCACTCATTGGGACACATACAGTGGAAGCTGTCTAAACTGGCACTGAAGAAATAATCCGGTTTAGATAGCATGCCGGATAGCTGACACAGTTACCTACAACTAGAACTGAACTAGTTTTGTCACTCTCACATACATTGTACATTGTTGTATCAGGATGTTCTCTCAGTTACTGCACACATTAAATTATCTTTGTCGCCAACCATGTAGTTTCAATACAGGATTAATAGGTGACAATACACATCCCGCAAACTCCTCGCCCCACCAGATTAGACAGCGCTGATTATAGTATAAACACATATTCAGGTGGCTTATTTCATGCTGGGATCGGGAATTTACAGCTGCCGGATTGCGGAGCTTTTAAATGATATATATCAATATACAAGCCATAGACGGGACTGAGATTTTATGCCGATGTTGACAACTTGCTGGACAGCTACCAGTTTTGACAGCTTCAACTGAATTTTTTGGTGAACCTTTGGGAATTCTGGGTAGGAAACTACCAGTCCCCAGCAACTAATGCTGGACTTAAGGTGACCAGTTGGTCCTCAGGTCCCAGGTAGAAAGTGTATCATCCATCAGGGAGGAATACGGCTCCATCAATCACCAGATTGTTCAGTCCACATCTACTAATTCCAAGTTGTCATTTATCTGGAATACTGTGAAGTGTTGTTTTTGACAACAAGCAAGCAAGCAATGCACAGACCTAACTATATGTACAGCGGAGATGGTAAGCAATGCACAGACCTAACTGTACTTACAACAGAGATGGTAAGCAGGAAGGGAGTCTTTCCACTTGGAGTCTTGGCGTAGAGGTCAACGTTCCCACTGAAGTTCATGTTGATGAGGCCGCCAGTGATGGTGATGTTGGGAGGTGCAGTGGCGTGCATCCTCATCGTCACTTGACTGTTGACAGTGATATTACAGAGGTAACCCCCATTACCCCTACATGCCACTACCTACAGCTTACAACAACATAGTTTACGGTCTTGTTGCACTGTTAATCCCCTGCCTGTTACCTATTCCATACAATGGACTAACCCACTTAAGAGACATAACAACACACAGCTATAAGACTGAGAGAATGATTTTTAATGAAGGTTGATATCATCATTTGTCATCATCAAGATTTTAATAAGGATTAACAATAAGTTGTCATCATGATTAATTGATGAACATTAACAATTAATTGTTTAACATTCAATGTACATAGTACAGTGTTGATACCCATAGTACAGTGTTAGGGCTGTCGATGATGTCTATCAAACCTATCAGCATTCAAATCAAATCAGTTTAGATCAAAATAATAGTTTTGTTATATTGTCTTAATATCGAAGTTTTTGAATCGGGATAAAGTATCAACAATATTTTGAATTTCCTCAACTTAGGGGATTTCCAGTTTTATTGTATCAAGGTAGAAATGATCTGGCATATGTCAGCCGGTAAGATGAAAGATTTGTAGATAATTTCTAAACTTTTTACGCTATAATCAATATTTCAAAGCTTCTTGAGCATTTAATCAGTGGGCTAACTTTCGTTTCATAGAGTTTATGTGAATATCCCAATAACAATTATTTTGAAGGGTCAAGATGCTTATGATTATCTACGCCTTGGTTATCACACCGCTCATTGTAAGATCAGGCTCAATGCTTCTATTTAGTTTTCTACTGAACTGTATTGATTTTGTTTTTGTTAGGATTGAATGAAACCTTCCATTCTTTGGCCCAATTTGAAATTCCTAATAAGTCATTATTTAAAACAGTCTGCAGCTATGTCTGGATCATCAATTATAACGATAGAGACGTGTCGCCTAATATTACTAGCAATATCATCTACAATATCATTAATATACATTATGAACATTAGGGTCCTAAGACTGGGTTTCAATATTACTGTGTATCTTTCATCCTGGCACTAAAACAACTTAATTTCAACATTTAACAACCTACACAAATTGTTCTACTCACTAGAGGTTTATCTTTCATCATGAAACTAATCAACTTTTAGCTGATCCCAAATTTCCTTGACACAAATCACTATCCAATTTGTAAAATTGTTCTACTCACTAGAGGTTTATCTTTCATCATGAAACTAATCAACTTTTAGCTGATCCCAAATTTCCTTGACACAAAACACTATCCAATTTGTAAAATTGTTCTACTCACTAGAGGTTTATCTTTCATCATGAAACTAATCAACTTTTTAGCTGATCCCAAATTTCCTTGACACAAAACACCAAACAATACAGAGTGATTGGGGTCTTGCTGATCTGAGACCAACAGTGCATACATGTTACAGAGAGATTTACAGGGGTTGGAGTCTTGCTGATCTGATACCAGAGAGATTGGTGCATCTGACACGCAGTACAGAGTGACTGGAATTGTGTCAGTATGTTAGATATGATTTAATTCTTTATATTTGATCAACAGAAACTTTTGTATTTTGTTGCAGTGGTGTTCATAAATTAGTAGGACTGCAGACATTTCAGAATGTTTAGCTCTGATATTTCACTTGCCATGGGCTAGCGGGCAATTGGTTTTGGGCACACTGATTGTAGTTACCTGTGGAATGAAAAAGCCAATGCACTTGTATGTGCAAGTTGTGTTAAAGATTGACCTGTTACCGGGTGGAAGCTGAAACAGGAAACATTATTTGTACTTAACATGAAATAATTATATTGCTACTTAGCTTTATCCCGATTGGTTACTTAAGAGTTTCAAATCAAAATGATACACTTTTCAATTTAAATTCAGTTTTGGTTTATTAATCACAACTTTACATGAAAACAAGTTAGACGTCTAAACTGAGAAACAAATAAAGCTGCCAATTAAAATTTCTAGAAGTGCAACATGGGTTCTACGTACATCCTTGGCAGTCAGATTATGCTGGAGGAAGCCGTGCTTGAAGCCAGCATAAGCCAGAGAGTTGCCCATGAAGTCTGACACCCACAGGTACAGCATGCGGGAGGTGTCGGTTGTGGTCGGCAGGGGGGTCGGGCTGAATGGACATTCCTCCTTTCCTCCCTTCCAGTAAACTTCTCCCTGAAACACACTCAGTCTGAGAGGGATGGTGGATATGACATGTCGTTTTGACTGTGCAGTGTATAAAAAGTTCATATTTCCTCCGACATGTACCACAGAGATGGTGGTGGATCATTCCCAAGAGTGTACATACATACTTCAGCTGTCCACGTGTGTATCACCTGGTTTGAGTATTTACTGTCTGCTACTGCTAGGCTACCCCTGCCATGATGTTACTGCTAGGCTACCCCTGCCATGATGTTACTGCTAGGCTACCCCTGCCATGATGTTACTGCTAGGCTACCCCTGCCATGATGTTACTGCTAGGATAACCCCTGCCATGATGTTACTGCTAGGCTACCCCTGCCATGATGTTACTGCTAGGCTACCCCTGCCATGATGATTACTGCTAGGTTACCCCATCATTGGCCATGATGTCCATGATGCCATACTTACTGGGCTACCCCATCATTGACCATGATGTTACTGCTAGGCTACCCCATCATTGGCCATGATGTTACTGCACGAGGCTACCCCATCATTGACCATGATGTTACTGCTAGGCTACCCCATCATTGGCCATGATGTTACTGCTAGGCTACCCCATCATTGGCCATGATGTTACTGCTAGGCTACCCCATCATTGGCCATGATGTTACTGCTAGGTTACCCCATCATTGACCATGATGTTACTGCTGATGTTACTGCTACCCCATCATTGACCATGATGTTACTGCTAGGCTTCCCCATCATTGGCCATGATGTTACTGCTAGGTTACCCCATCATTGACCATGATGTTACTGCTAGGCTACCCCATCATTGACCATGATGTTACTGCTAGGCTACCCCATCTTTGACCATGATGTTACTACTTAGGCTACCCCATCATTGACCATGATGTTACTGCTAGGCTACCCCATCATTGACCATGATGTTACTGCTAGGTTACCCCATCATTGGCCATGATGTTACTGCTAGGTTACCCCATCATTGACCATGATGTTACTACTAGGTTACCCCATCATTGACCATGATGTTACTGCTAGGCTACCCCATCATTGGCCATGATGTTACTGCTAGGGCTACTCCCATCATTGACCATGATGTTACTGCTAGGCTACCCCATCATTGACCATGATGTTACTGCTAGGCTACCCCATCATTGACCATGATGTTACTGCTAGGTTACCCCATCATTGGCCATGATGTTACTGCTAGGTTACCCCATCATTGACCATGATGTTACTGCTAGGTTACCCCATCATTGGCCATGATGTTACTGCTAGGCTACCCCATCACTGACCATGATGTTACTGCTAGGTTACCCCATCATTGACCATGATGTTACTGCTAGGCTACCCCATCATTGACCATGATGTTACTGCTAGGCTACCCCATCATTGACCATGATGTTACTGCTAGGCTACCCCATCATTGGCCATGATGTTACTGCTAGGTTACCCCATCATTGACCATGATGTTACTGCTAGGTTACCCCATCATTGACCATGATGTTACTGCTAGGTTACCCCATCATTGGCCATGATGTTACTACATTAGGCTACTCCCATCATTGACCATGATGTTACTGCTAGGCTACCCCATCATTGACCATGATGTTACTGCTAGGCTACCCCATCATTGACCATGATGTTACTGCTAGGCTACCCCATCATTGGCCATGATGTTACTGCTAGGTTACCCCATCATTGGCCATGATGTTACTGCTAGGCTACCCCATCATTGGCCATGATGTTACTACTAGGCTACCCCATCATTGGCCATGATGTTACTACTAGGCTACCCCATCATTGGCCATGATGTTACTACTAGGCTACCCCAGCATTGTGATGTTACTACTAGGCTACCCCATCATTGGCCCCATCATTGATGTTACTACTAGGCTACCCCATCATTGACCATGATGTTACTGCTAGGCTACCCCATCATTGGCCATGATGTTACTGCTAGGCTACCCCATCATTGGCCATGATGTTACTACTAGGCTACCCCATCATTGACCATGATGTTACTACTAGGCTACCCCATCATTGACCATGATGTTACTGCTAGGCTACCCCATCATTGGCCATGATGTTACTGCTAGGCTACTACCCCATCATTGACCATGATGTTACTGCTAGGTTACCCCATCATTGGCCATGATGTTACTGCTACCCCAACATTGGCTACCCCATCATTGGCCATGATGTTACTACTAGGTTACCCCATCATTGTTACCTATGATGTTTACTGCTAGGCTACCCCATCATTGACCATGATGTTACTGCTAGGCTACCCCATCATTGACCATGATGTTACTACTAGGCTACCCCATCATTGGCCATGATGTTACTGCTAGGCTACCCCATCATTGACCATGATGTTACTGCTAGGCTACCCCATCATTGACCATGATGTTACTACTAGGCTACCCCATCATTGACCATGATGTTACTGCTAGGCTACCCCATCATTGACCATGATGTTACTACTAGGCTACCCCATCATTGGCCATGATGTTACTACTAGGCTACCCCATCATTGGCCATGATGTTACTACTAGGCTACCCCATCATTGGCCATGATGTTACTGCTAGGCTACCCCATCATTGACCATGATGTTACTGCTAGGTTACCCTATCATTGACCATGATGTTACTGCTAGGATGTTACTGCTACCCATCATTCGCCATGATGTTACTGCTAGGCTACCCAATCATTGGCCATGATGTTACTACTAGGCTACCCCATCATTGACCATGATGTTACTGCTAGGGTTACTACATCATTGGCCATGATGTTACTGCTAGGCTACCCCATCATTGGCCATGATGTTACTGCTAGGCTACCCCATCATTGGCCATGATGTTACTACTAGGCTACCCCATCATTGACCATGATGTTACTACTAGGCTACCCCATCATTGACCATGATGTTACTGCTAGGCTACCCCATCATTGGCCATGATGTTACTGCTAGGCTACCCCATCATTGGCCATGATGTTACTGCTAGGCTACCCCAACATTGGCCATGATGTTACTGCTAGGCTACCTCATCATTGACCATGATGTTACTACTAGGCTACCCCATCATTGACCATGATGTTACTGCTAGGCTACCCCATCATTGGCCATGATGTTACTGCTAGGCTACCCATCATTGACCATGATGTTACTGCTAGGCTACCCCATCATTGACCATGATGTTACTGCTAGGCTACCCCATCATTGACCATGATGTTACTGCTAGGCTACCCCAACATTGACCATGATGTTACTGCTAGGCTACCCCATCATTGGCCATGATGTTACTGCTAGGCTACCCCATCATTGGCCATGATGTTACTGCTAGGCTACCCCAACATTGACCATGATGTTACTGCTAGGCTACCCCAACATTGGCCATGATGTTACTGCTAGGCTACCCCAACATTGGCTATGATGTTACTACTAGGCTACCCCATCATTGGCCATGATGTTACTGCTAGGCTACCCCATCATTGACCATGATGTTACTGCTAGGCTACCCCATCATTGACCATGATGTTACTGCTAGGCTACCCCATCATTGGCCATGATGTTACTGCTAGGCTACCCCAACATTGACCATGATGTTACTACCCTAGGCTACCCAGACATTGACCATGATGTTACTGCTGATGCTACCCCAACATTGACCATGATGTTACCGCTAGGCTACCCCATCATTTGCCATGATGTTACTGCTAGGCTACCCCATCATTGACTATGATGTTACTGCTAGGCTACCCCATCATTGACCATGATGTTACTGCTAGGTTACCCCAGCCACGATGTTACTGCTAGGCTACCCCATCATTGACTATGATGTTACTGCTAGGCTACCCCATCATTGGCCATGATGTTATCACACACAGGTTATTAACTATAAATGTCATCAGTTACGTCACGATATGCAACTTTCGTGTCCACAGATATGTTACGTGACACGGGCACAGATAAGGACATGTTACGTGACACGGGCACAGATAAGGACATGTTACGTGTCACGGGCACAGATAAGGACATGTTAAAAGCAGCCTTGAACACATAGGGCAGCTGACCTTCAGCATGGTCTCCATGAACTTGGTGTCGAAGGTCGGGTTTGAGATGAGGCTGTAGTCCAGCAAGAACGTCTTCAGCACCGAGACTGTCACTGAAAACAAAAGGATGACATCAGCCCAAGCCCTTCGGAACAGATTCACAACTGCCAGTGCCCAGTTGCAACAAGCCGCATGGGACATCTGTCTTCCACATGCACTTGGCTGTTTTTGGCTGTTTGAATCAAACATGGTGCATGTGTGTTTCCATGTACCCTTGTATTTTGCTGTTTTTAAAGCACAATATTTCATTTCACTCAAACTCAATGAATAGCGTTTAGGTTTATATATGACTATCAAATTTTAGAGTGTTCCCATACTTTTTGCTTTGTGTAAATATATCAACATATAGAAATTAGCTGGTTGGAACACGAGGAAGGAGAGAGATAAGTCATACTTACTGGGAGAGCTTTTGTAGTTGTTTGTTGGCATCAGTGTTGATGGCAGCAGTAATCGAAAGGGTACACATCTTCAAGCATTATGCAGGAACACACACAACTTTGAAAATATGCAGTGACACAAAATCTGATAGTTTTAGACAGTTGATTATGTACAATAATTATTCTTAATAACTAGTAACATAAATGCTGGAGTTAAAGGATCACAGCTGCAGTTGAGACATATATTTGGTACCCCCCGACTTACCAGCGTGTTGCAGGAACACAGGGAAACATGACCCAACACTCAGAGACTTCATCAAAGTTGTATTCGCGATTATTTGATTTAAGCGAAAATGTTGGCTCAGTTTGGACTGACTCTGACTCGGAGAAGGTCCTTGGCCTTCTTCCTACGATGAGAGCCACTGAAGAGGCTATAAAAGCCAGGAAGCCACCATGGAAGTGGATCTTCTATGCCCCAATTCCACTGAACCAGCTACTACCCGGACAGCTTGGGTTTTACCCAGCATCACCTGTAAGCAATGGAAGTGTTGTCGCTTCCAACATTCATCCTCATGGCATACAAAAGGAACAGCTCCAGAAATGGGCATGAAAGACACAGAACATACCAAGTTTGATAGTCCGGCTGAAGCTGATGCTTCACTGATGCATCAAAAAACTGACATGGTCTGAAATCTTGATCCTGAAATCAAACATAAACATTCATCATAAAAACATTTGGCTAGTGAACAAAAGACATGTTAATATTGGTGAATCTTCGCTTACTGTCCTGTCCATGTAAACCCGCAGATTTCACAAATGTGAACTGATGTCTGCTGTTGGCAACTCATGTCAAAACCCACATCTAGCATCAACCCACCTCTACTCATTCCACCCTACCTCCTCCATTCTAGCACTCTGTCCATTTCTACCCATATACTCACGGATAAACTTATCTCAACTTACATCCAAGCTTATCATGCCCATATCATACTCAGGTCAACTCCACACATCTACTCAAGCTACAACTCAGTCTACTCATGTCAATCCCACATCTAATCAGGTCAACCCACATCTACTAGTCAGTCCCTCATCTTTCCAGTCAGCCCACATCCAATCAACCAATCTAGCTCATCTTCCAATTCACATCTAATCAGGTCAGCCCCATCTACCCATACTTAGGTCATAGGTCCCAGTCTACTCCCAAGTCCAGCCCAGCCTAACCCAGGTCAACCCACATCAACTGGCATGTCAACCCACATGTCTGCCCATCAACTTTCCATGTCAACCCACCTATCTACTCAGGTCAACCCACATCTACTCATGGTAGCCACATCTACTCATCTGTCCCACATCTACTCTTATCCAGCCCATATCTACTTGTCAATCACACATCTACCAGCATGCTCACCCATCCATTTCAGGTCAACCCACATCTACTCCTTGTCAACCACATCTACTCAGGTCAGCCATCTACTTCAGGTCAGCTTCACATCTACTCATGCCAAACACATCTACTCTATACTTACTCAACCCAGCATCTACTCCTTTTATGTCAGCCATACATCTATAGCCTCAAATCAATTCCATCAACCACATCTACTCATATCAATCAGCCCATCAAACTCATGTCAACTCCCACATGTCAAGCCCTACATCTACTCCAACTGTCACCCAAATCTGCTCTTGTCAACTACATCTACTCTTGTCAACCCAATGCCTCTGCAACTCTCAAGCCTTCTCATGTCAACCCCACATCTACTATTGTCAACTTTACATCTACTCTTGTCAACCCCATCTGCTCTCGGTCCGGCCATCTACTCAGGTCAACCCATCTACTCATGTCAACCCACCTCTACTCTGTGTCAACCCTACTAGGTCATCCATCTTCTTATCCTTCCAGCCTCACCTGGTCTTGCCCACATCTACCCATGTCCATTTTACATCAACTCCATTACTCATCCAACCACATCTACTCATGTCAACCCATCACTTTCCATTACTCAGTCAACCACACATCTACTCATCTACTGTCAACCCACATCTACTCTTGTCAACATCTACTCATGTCAACCTATTCTAATCCCACATCTACTCATGTCAACTCCACATCATAACCCATCTACTCATATCAACTCCACATCTACTCATTGTCAACCCACATCTACTCATATCAACCCACATCTACTCATGTCAACCCACATCTACTCATCATGTCAACTCTTTCAGTCCCATGTCAACTCCACATCTACTCATGTCAACCCATCATCTACTCTCATGTCAACCCACATCTACTCATGTCAACCCACATCTACTAACTCCACATCTGTCAATCCCACATCTACTCAGGTCAACCCACATGTCAACCCCACATCACTCAACCCATGTCTACTTATGTCAACCCACATCTACTTATGTCAACCCACATCTACTCATATCAACTCATATCTTCTCATGTCAACCAACATTTACCCATGTCAACCCACATCTGCTCATGTCAACCACATCTACTCATGTCAACCATGGCAACCCACATCTACTCTTGTCAACCACATCTACTCATGTCAACCCACATCTACTCAGGTCAACCCACATCTACCCAGGTCAACCCACATCTACCCAGGTCAACCCACCTACTCAGGTCAACCACATCTACTCAGGTCAACCACATGTCCACTCCTGCAAATCTTCTCAGGCAACTGCAAATCTTCTCAGGCAACCCACATGTACTCATATCAACTCACATGTTCTCATGTCAACCACATGTACTCATGTCAACCCACATCTACTCATGTCAACTCACATCTACTCATGTCAACCCACATCTACTCATGTCAACCCACATCTACTCATATCAACTCACATCTACTCATGTCAACCCACATCTACTCATGTCAACCCACATCTACTCATGTCAACCCACATCTACTCATGTCAACCCACATCTACTCATATCAACTCACATCTACTCATATCAACTCACATCTACTCATGTCAACCCATATCTACTCATATCAACTCACATCTACCCATGTCAACCCACATCTACTCATATCAGCTCATACTACTCATGTCAACCCACATCTACTCATATCAACTCACATCTACTCATGTCAACCCCCATCTACTCATGTCAACCCCCATCTACTCATGTCAACCACATGTCCATTCTTGCAAATCTTCTCAGGCACCCTACCATCCTTGCTTGTACTTGTAGTGGACGTTTCCGTGCATGGCCAAGTCTGCCCCAGCGGCGTTCCACTTGATGCCCGCCCCTTTCTGCGGCAACATTGAGCTGCGTGGAGACGTGAAGCTGGAAATTGTCATTCTACAACAAAGTCAGAAACAGAGACTGGGATGAAGACTGAGGAACATTTTGTGATCATATCATGTTTAGTCAATTTTCATTCATCTGATTTTGAAAATACATCCCCCAATGACTAAAAGAATTGTAATACATTTACATTTGGTACATAGAGTGACCTGTAAAACTTTCAAACAAATCAATGTAAATATGGAGCAAAGAGGGAGGGATGGTGATTATGATTCTTTGTTTATCAGCACTGTGGAAAACATAATCTGTGTTCTTCAATCTGTTCTCTTACAATCTTACAGGGTATGGAACTCCAAACAATCTCTTATCTCCTATAAGAAGATCTAGAGTGCAATCAACTAACTCTTGTACACTCAGATCTAGAGAGCTACCAACTACCTTCTGTACACTCAGATCTAGTGTGCCACCAGATACCTTCTGTACACTCAGATCTACAGAGCCACCAACTACCTTCTGTACACTCAGATCTAGAGAGCCACCAGCTACCTTCTGTACACTCAGATCTAGAGTGCCACCAACTACCTTCTGTACACTCAGATCTAGAGTGCCACCAGCTACCTTCTGTACACTCAGATCTAGAGAGCCACCAACTACCTTCTGTACACTCCAGATCTAGAGTGCCACCAACTACCTCTCTGTACACTCAGATCTAGAGAGCTACCAACTACCTTCTGTACACTCCAGATCTAGTGTGCCTTATCTGTGTACACTCAGATCTAGAGTGCCACCAACTACCTTCTGTACACTCAGATCTACAGTGTGCCACCAGCTACCTCCTGTACACTCAGATCTAGAGTGCCACCAACTACCTTCTGTACACTCAGATCTAGAGTGCCACCAACTACCTTCTGTACACTCAGATCTAGTGTGCCACCAGCTACCTCCACTCAGATCTAGAGAGCCACCAACTACCTTCTGTACACTCCAGATCTAGAGTGCCACCAACTACCTTCTGTACACTCAGATCTAGAGTGCCACCAACTACCTTCTGTACACTCAGATCTAGAGAGCCACCAACTACCTTCTGTACACTCAGATCTAGAGTGCCACCAACTACCTTCTGTACACTCAGATCTAGAGAGCCACCAACTACCTTCTGTACACTCAGATCTAGAGTGCCACCAACTACCTTCTGTACACTCAGATCTAGAGAGCCACCAGCTACCTTCTGTACACTCAGATCTAGAGAGCCACCAACTACCTCTTGTACACTCAGATCTAGAGTGCCACCAACTACCTTCTGTACACTCAGATCTAGAGAGCCACCAGCTACCTCTTGTACACTCAGATCTAGAGTGCCACCAACTACCTTCTGTACACTCCAGATCTAGAGTGCCACCAGCTACCTTCTGTACACTCCAGATCTAGAGAGCCACCAGCTACCTTCTGTACACTCAGATCTAGAGTGCCACCAACTACCTTCTGTACACTCAGATCTAGAGTGCCACCAACTACCTTCTGTACACTCAGATCTAGAGTGCCACCAGCTACCTTCTGTACACTCAGATCTAGAGAGCCACCAGCTACCTCCTCTGTACACTCTCAGATCTAGAGTGCCACCAGCTACCTTCTGTACACTCTCAGATCTAGAGTGCCACCAGCTACCTTCTGTACACTCCAGATCTAGAGAGCCACCAGCTACCTCTGTACACTCAGATCTAGAGAGCCACCAACTACCTTCTGTACACTCAGATCTAGAGAGCCACCAACTACCTTTCTGTACACTCTCAGATCTAGAGTGCCACCAGCTACCTTCTGTACACTCAGATCTAGAGTGCCACCAGCTACCTTCTGTACACTCAGATCTAGAGAGCCACCAACTACCTTCTGTACACACTCAGATCTAGAGAGCCACCAACTACCTTCTGTACACTCAGATCTAGAGAGCCACCAACTACCTTCTGTACACTCAGATCTAGAGAGCCACCAACTACCTCTTGTACACTCAGATCTAGAGTGCCACCAACTACCTTCTGTACACTCAGATCTAGAGAGCCACCAACTACCTTCTGTACACTCAGATCTAGAGAGCCACCAACTACCTTCTGTACACTCAGATCTAGAGAGCCACCAACTACCTCTCTGTACACTCCAGATCTAGAGTGCCACCAGCTACCTCTCTGTACACTCAGATCTAGAGTGCCACCAACTACCTCCTGTACACTCAGATCTAGAGTGCCACCAACTACCTTCTGTACACTCAGATCTAGAGAGCCACCAGCTACCTTCTGTACACGCTCAGATCTAGAGTGCCACCAGCTACCTCCTGTACACCCAGATGTAGATTGCCACCAACTAACTCTTGTACACTCAGATCTAGAGTACCACCAGCTACCTTCTGTACACTCAGATCTAGAGAGCCACCAGCTACCTTCTGTACACACTCAGATCTAGAGTGCCACCAACTACCTTCTGTACACACTCAGATCTAGAGAGCCACCAACCACATTCTGTACACGCTCAGATCAAGAGTGCCACCAGCTACCACCTGTACACCCAGATGTAGATTGCCACCAACTAACTCTTGTACACTCAGATCTAGAGTACCACCAGCTACCTTCTGTACACACTCAGATCTAGAGTGCCACAAACTACCTTCTGTACACACTCAGATCTAGAGTGCCACCAACCACCTTCTGTACACGCTCAGATCTAGAGAGCCACCAGCTACCTTCTGTACACACTCAGATCTAGAGTGCCACCAACTACCTTCTGTACACACTCAGATCTAGAGAGCCACCAGCTACCTTCTGTACACACTCAGATCTAGAGTGCCACCAACTACCTTATGTACACACTCACATCTAGAGAGCCACTAACTACCTTCTGTACACACTCAGATCTAGAGAGCCACCAACTACCTTCTGTACTCACTCACATCTAGAGAGCCACCAACTACCTTATGTACACACTCACATCTAGAGAGCCACCAACTACCTTCTGTACACACTCAGATCTAGAGAGCCACCAACTACCTTCTGTACACACTCACATCTAGAGAGCCACCAACTACCTTCTGTACACACTCAGATCTAGATTACCACCAACTACCTTCTGTACACACTCAGATCTAGAGAGTCACCAGCTACCTTCTGTACACTCTCAGATCTAGAGAGCCACCAGCTACCTTCTGTACACACTCAAATCCAGAGAGCCACCAACTACCTTCTGTACACACTCAGATCTAGAGAGCCACCAACTACCTTCTGTACACACTCAGATCCTAGAGAGCCACCAACTACCTTCTGTACACACTCACATCTAGAGAGCCACTAACTACCTTCTGTACACACTCAGATCTAGAGAGCCACCAACTACCTTCTGTACACACTCACATCTAGAGAGCCACCAACTACCTTCTGTACACACTCAGATCTAGAGAGCCACCAACTACCTTCTGTACACACTCAGATCTAGAGAGCCACCAACTACCTTCTGTACACACTCAGATCTAGAGAGCCACCAACTACCTTCTGTACACACTCAGATCTAGAGAGCCACCAACTACCTTCTGTGTACACACTCAGATCTAGAGAGCCACCAACTACCTTCTGTACACACTCAGATCTAGAGAGCCACCAACTACCTTCTGTACACACTCACATCTAGAGAGCCACCAACTACCTTCTGTACACACTCACATCTAGAGAGCCACTAACTACCTTCTGTACACACTCAGATCTAGAGAGCCACCAACTACCTTCTGTACACACTCACATCTAGAGAGAGCCACCAACTACCTTCTGTACACACTCAGATCTAGAGTGCCACCAACTACCTTCTGTACACACTCACATCTAGAGAGCCACCAACTACCTTCTGTACACACTCAGATCTAGAGAGCCACCAACTACCTTCTGTACACACTCAGATCTAGAGAGCCACCAACTACCTTCTGTACACACTCACATGTAGAGAGCCACCAACTACCTTCTGTACACACTCACATCTAGAGAGCCACTAACTACCTTCTGTACACACTCACATCTAGAGAGCCACCAACTACCTTCTGTACACACTCAGATCTAGAGAGCCACCAACTACCTTCTGTACACACTCAGATCTAGAGAGCCACCAACTACCTTCTGTACACACTCAGATCTAGAGAGCCACCAAGTACCTTCTGTACACACTCAGATCTAGAGAGCCACCAACTACCTTCTGTACACACTCAGATCTAGAGAGCCACCAACTACCTTCTGTACACACTCAGATCTATCTAGAGAGCCTGTGTGTGTACAGGAGGTAGGGTGATTAATTCATTCTGGTCAGGTGGGGGTCACAGTATCTATGGTAAGTGTGTGGCTAGGCTAATTCTGGCAAATAGATAACTGAAGGATCCTCACCCAGTTATATCGTAGGACACTTTTCCAGATTTGCCGGACTGGTCTGGGATATGGAGTTTCTTGATGGACTGGGATAAGGCCAACATAGCCATTTTGTTTGCTGAAAATAGAAGAAAGTTGTGAGTGGATGGATCTTCTTGCCGTACGTTCTTGTATGTCACCACTATGTAGCATGTTATTGTTGTATATCACCACTATGTAGCATGTTATAGGTGTATATCACCACTATGTAGCATGTTATAGGTGTATATCACCACTATGTAGCATGTTATAGGTGTATATCACCACTATGTAGCATGTTATAGGTGTATATCACCACTATGTAACATGTTATAGCTGTATATATCACCACTATGTAGCATGTTATAGGTGTATATCACCACTATGTAGCATGTTATAGGTGTATATCACCACTATGTAGCATGTTATTGTTGTATATCATCACTATGTAACATGTTATAGGTGTATATCACCACTATGTAGCATGTTATTGTTGTATATCACCACTATGTAGCATGTTATTGTTGTATATCACCACTATGTAGCATGTTATTGTTGTATATCACCACTATGTAACATGTTATTGTTGTATATCACCACTATGTAACATGTTATAGGTGTATATCACCACTATGTAACATGTTATTGTTGTATGTCACCACCATGTAACATGTTATTGTTGTATATCACCACCATGTAGCATGTTATTGTTGTATATCACCACCATGTAGCATGTTATTGTTGTATATCACCACCATGTAGCATGTTATTGTTGTATATCACCACTATGTAGCATGTTATTGTTGTATATCACCACTATGTAGCATGTTATAGGTGTATATCACCACTATGTAGCATGTTATTGTTGTATATCACCACTATGTAACATGTTATTGTTGTATATCACCACCATGTAGCATGTTATTGTTGTATATCACCACTATGTAACATGTTATTGTTGTATATCACCACCATGTAACATGTTATTGTTGTATATCACCACTATGTAGCATGTTATTGTTGTATATCACCACTATGTAACATGTTATTGTTGTATATCACCACTATGTAGCATGTTATTGTTGTATATCACCACTATGTAGCATGTTATTGTTGTATATCATCACTATGTAACATGTTATAGGTGTATATCACCACTATGTAACATGTTATTGTTGTATATCACCACCATGTAGCATGTTATTGTTGTATATCACCACTATGTAGCATGTTATTGTTGTATATCACCACCATGTAGCATGTTATTGTTGTATATCACCACCATGTAGCATGTTATTGTTGTATATCACCACCATGTAGCATGTTATTGTTGTATATCACCACCATGTAGCATTGCTGTGTTATTCAGCATGTTGTTATTGTTGTATATCACCACCGATGTCACCACCATGTAGCATGTTATTGTATTGTATATCACCACCATGTAGCATGTTATTGTTGTATATCACCACCATGTAGCATGTTATTGTTGTATATCACCACCATGTAGCATGTTATTGGTGTACATCACCACCATGTAGCATGTTATTGTTGTATATCACCACCATGTAGCATGTTATTGTTGTATGTATCACCACCATGGTCAGCATGTTATTGTTGTATATCACCACCATGTAGCATGTTATTGTTGTATATCACCACCATGTGGCATGTTATTGTTGTATATATCACCACCATGTAGCATGTTATTGTTGTATATCACCACCATGTAGCATGTTATTGTTGTATATCACCACCATGTAGCATGTTATTGTTGTATATCACCACCATGTAGCATGTTATTGTTGTATATCACCACCATGCAGCATGTTATTGTTGTACGTCACCACCATGTAGCATGTTATTGTTGTACATCACCACCATGTAGCATGTTATTGTTGTACATCACCACCATGTAGCATGTTATTGTTGTATATCACCACCATGTAGCATGTTATTGTTGTATGTCACCACCATGTAGCATGTTATTGTTGTATGTCACCACCATGTAGCATGTTATTGTTGTATGTCACCACTATGTAGCATGTTATTGTTGTATATCACCACCATGCAGCATGTTATTGTTGTACTGTCACCACCATGTAGCATGTTATTGTTGTATGTCACCACCATGTAGCATGTTATTGTTGTATGTCACCACCATGTAGCATGTTATTGTTGTATATCACCACCATGTAGCATGTTATTGTTGTATATCACCACTATGTAGCATGTTATTGTTGTATATCACCACCATGTAGCATGTTATTGTTGTATATCACCACCATGTAGCATGTTATTGTTGTATGTCACCACCATGTAGCATGTTATTGTTGTATATCACCACCATGTAGTATGTTATGGTTGTACCACCATAGCATGTTATTGTAGTGTAGTACGTCACCACCATGCAGCATGTTATTGTTGTAGATCACCACCATGTAGTATGTTATTGGTTGTATCGCCACCACCATGCATGTTATTGTTGTACATGACCACCATGCAGCATGTTATTGTTGCATCGCCACCACTATGTAGCATGTTATTGTTGTATGTCACCACCATGCAGCATGTTATTGTTGTATCGTCACCACCATGCAGCATGTTATTGTTGTATATCACCACCATGCAGCATGTTATTGTAGTACGTCACCACCATGCAGCATGTTATTGTTGTACATCACCACCATGCAGCATGTTATTGTTGTATATCACCACCATGCAGCATGTTATTGTAGTATCGCCACCCCATGTAGCATGTTATTGTTGTATATCACCACCATGCAGCATGTTATTGTTGTACGTCACCACCATGCAGCATGTTATTGTAGTACGTCACCACCATGCAGCATGTTATTGTTGTACATCACCACCATGTAGCATGTTATTGTTGTATATCACCACCATGCAGCATGTTATTGTTGTACGTCACCACCATGCAGCATGTTATTGTAGTACGTCACCACCATGCAGCATGTTATTGTTGTACATCACCACCATGCAGCATTGTTGTATTGTGCAGCATGTTATTGTAGTACGTCACCACCATGTAGCATGTTATTGTTGTATGTCACCACCATGCAGCATGTTATTGTTGTACGTCACCACCATGCAGCATGTTATTGTTGTATATCACCACCATGCAGCATGTTATTGTAGTACGTCACCACCATGCAGCATGTTATTGTTCTATCACCACCATGCATGTTATTGTAGTATCGCCACCACCATGCAGCATGTTATTGTTGTACATCACCACCATGCAGCATGTTATTGTTGTACATCACCACCATGCAGCATGTTATTGTTGTACGTCACCACCATGTAGCATGTTATTGTTGTACATCACCACCATGTAGCATGTTATTGTTGTACGTCACCACCATGCAGCATGTTATTGTTGTACGTCACCACCATGCAGCATGTTATTGTTCTACATCACCACCATGCAGCATGTTATTGTTGTACGTCACCACCATGTAGCATGTTATTGTTGTACGTCACCACCATGCAGCATGTTATTGTTGTACGTCACCACCATGTAGCATGTTATTGTTGTATGTCACCACCATGCAGCATGTTATTGTTGTACATCACCACCATGCAGCATGTTATTGTTGTACGTCACCACCATGCAGCATGTTATTGTTGTACGTCACCACCATGCAGCATGTTATTGTTGTACGTCACCACCATGTAGCATGTTATTGTTGTATGTCACCACCATGCAGCATGTTATTGTTGTACATCACCACCAAGTAATATGTTATGGTTGTACATCACCACCAAGTAGTATGTTATGGTTGTACATCACCACCAAGTAATATGTTATGGTTGTACATCACCATGCAGCATGTTAGCGATATATTTTTTCTGTATTACCAGTTTCATTCATCTCAATCACCTAATTCCAGCGATCCAGCACACTTGCTCAGTTCTCCCCGACTTTTGCAGGTACTACCAAGCTGACATCACAGTGCCAAACACAAAATCCACTTAAACCCGGGGCATGGGTATTTTCTTAAAGTTGCTCTATAAGAAACTCATCCACAAATCATGCAATTATAGCACATTGCAATATAGGCAGTGCCAAATTCCCTGTTGTTGCCGTGTCTGGCCACAGTGGTGCAGGCATTTTATCGGTTGTAAACTTTGTCTTTGAAAACATGTCACTAATTTCACTTTTGTTTATGATACCCATCATTCCCCAATATGCTTGAAAACAGGTTAATAATCTACACCAAAATGTCGCTATTGTGAAAATAAAGACGTTGATCATCCATGAACTTGTAAGTAATACAACGTCACTATCATACAATAAAGGAGATGATTATCCATGAACTTGTAAGTAATACAACATCACTATTATATAATAAAGGAGATGATTATCCATGAACTTGTAAGTAATACAACATCACTATTATATAATAAAGGAGATGATTATCCATGAACTTGTAAGTAATACAACATCACTATTATATAATAAAGGAGATGATTATCCATGAACTTGTAAGTAATACAACATCACTATTATATAATAAAGGAGATGATTATCCATGAACTTGTAAGTAATACAACATCACTATTATATAATAAAGGAGATGATTATCCATGAACTTGTAAGTAATACAACATCACTATTATATAATAAAGGAGATGATTATCCATGAACTTGTAAGTAATACAACATCACTATTATATAATAAAGGAGATGATTATCCATGAACTTGTAAGTAATACAACATCACTATTATTATAATAAAGGAGATGATTATCCATGAACTTGTAAGTAATACAACATCGCTATTATATAATAAAGGAGATGATTACCCATGAACTTGTAAGTAAAACAACATCGCTATTATATAATAAAGGAGATGATTATCCATGAACTTGTAAGTAATACAACATCGCTATTATATAATAAAGGAGATGATTATCCATGAACTTATAAGTAATACAACATCGCTATTGTATTAATTATCCATAAAGAGTTGTCTTTCCTGTTGTATGCATATCATTAATGCCCATCATGTAGTGTAGGAAATAAGTCCCGTCCCTTGTCCTATAAGTCCCGTCCCGCCCGAGACAGGCTAGATTTCTGACGGACGGACTAAATATACAGTTAGCCAGCCCCATGGTCTGGTAAAAAATTTAGATTCATCATATCTTAAAATATATTTGTTAAACTGAGCATTACATTTAGACTTGACAATTGCTGTTTGAACATTGAACTATCGTATCGCAAGCTCAAAGCACTGCGTTGACATACTCAAACAGAGACACCAATCGATGTGCGGAGTAAATACACGTCTTAGGTTCATTAAACTATTCACATGGTAACTAAAAACATTCTTTTTATTTTTTGTATTGTCTGGTCTGGTTAAATTCATTTGGGGCTGGTAACATTTTGAAGTTACCAGCCCGGATGTCTGGCTGTGTTTTTGGCTTATTTCATACACTGCTCATGCCACTCACTGGATTGTCTAGTCCACACTGCTTGATCTACAGACCGCTGCAAGATACGTGAAATATTGCTGAGTGGGGCGTTAAACAACAAAGTAAACTAAGTGTATCTACGGTACATGCTCCACAGTAGCCACCCACCTCCAGAATACAATACCGTATTGATCACCATAACTGCAACAGGAGTCCATCACCTACTTTCTCACCAATATGTTAGTCTTACAATTCTGAGACTGAAAATTCCCCGCGGTAAGACTTCCGCCCGTATCCCCTCTAGATTTTAATGATAAAAAAAAATGTCTTTGAATGGCATTTTTAGAAGTTGAATATGTCTTTCAGTATGTTCTGATACAATTAAAGAAACATTTTAAAACTCATCCTTAGCAGGTGATATGATTTGACAAGGATGAAATTTAAGGGGGGATACGGGCGGAAGTCTTTCCAAACGAAGATATAACTATTTGGTATTACTCTTAGTTTCATAGTTGGAACGTCTGTTGTCTCATTCCCGACTTCAGACAACCAAAGTTGATTGTATAAGTGTTCCGCCCGTAACCAACCCTTGAAATGTATTCTATTTATTATGATTATTTCTAGTGTTTAGGTTTGGGTTTAGATTTAGCATTATGTTAGGTTTAGGGTTAGGGTTAAGGTAGGGTTTCTATAGAAATCATCTATTCTTAGGCATAGAATGATAAATACAACGGGGTTACGCTCGGAAATCTTTCCGTTGATTGTATACCATGTATTCCGTCCGAATTGAAAACGGCAGGCTTCTATTGATACAAGTAGGACACAAACACACTTTCCCTTGAACCTAATTGCTGATCCCTGTACAATTTAGTTTCAACAGGTGCTTCTTAACTAACAATAAATTAGTCCCTTGAGTCTTGGACACTTGCCAGCTTCAGTAGCAATAACCCGTAGTAACTATATAGAATGTCCTATTCGTGATAAAACCGATCTCATATCCCCAGCAAATCCAACTGGTGGAAAACAAAAGCCAACGTCAATAATACTCACCATAATTAAGGCCACTCTGGGTTATTCTTGCTTTGAAACCCGGAGAAGTAGATGCACCAAGACCCACAAACAGCACAACAAAAATAACAACAAGCTTCATTTTGTTGTTGTCACGACAGATCACGTTCACAGGCACCGAGAGCGGTTCGTCCCTTGTCCTAGCGTGTTAACTAACTTGCTCGTCGAAAGTCTCAACTGGGAAGTAATATGTGTTTCTGCGAATTAAATCTGGGCTGTACAAGTCTGAGAGCACGAACCAGGAAGCTGAAACAAAAGCGACTATCAGCCCTGCAGCTCCTCACAATATCAGCCAGTGTGACGATGTTGGGAAATTCCAACAAAGGGACGTTACTCTTGATATACCTTGTATTCAATCAAGCGTGTCGACATGCGATTGACGTTGTGAAGTTTTGGTGTGTGCAGTTTCGGCAAGACACATTGCTGTTGAACCAATTTTCAATATTCACTTCTCTTCGGGGGAAGCACTCCATCCATGCATATTGCAGCAGATAAACCAGAATGTCAATAAAAGTTTCAAGTGTTACCTGTCGCATGTGCATGCAAAGAGAAAAACTTACGTTTGGATTGTAAAACACTTTAAATTAAAGTGTTTTTAAAACCATCCAAATGTAGTTTAATACATATACACGCTCATATAATATTGGTAAAGAGTCAGCGCACAGGATCGATATTTAAATCTATGAGATTTCCCTAGACGCATTTGATTCTTAACATAAAGCGTACTGTGTAGTTTCTGATCTACCAATGAAGACCGAATGTAGACTACATGTTCCGCATCGTGAATCTGTGATGGACAGACACGCAGCCTCATGTGGAGATGAGTCACTCTTCCTTTATCGCCGTTAGTTTTGGTCAGGAAACAAATACAAAGAGACTTTGATCGAATATAGTGAAACTAACAAGTAACGAAATTACGTGAGTATTTTCGATTCGTGCATGGTGGTCACCAAGGCAACGAGAAGATTAACTCGATTTTATATCCGGATCATACATGCCTTGATACTTAAACATTTTCCTTAGATCTTAACATATTTCTTAATACCATCGATAACATACCAAATCACAAGTGCAATGCCAACAAACTTTGACAAACACGCAAAGCTAAACATATTATAGAGACCATTTCTGACACAAGATTAAGTTGTTATAATAGCTTTATTTTAAGTTAGTGGAAGATTTACTTTTACCACTCAAAACTGTGTTCCACAGGAGATTTTGCTTGTGTGAGATGATATCGTTTTGACAGATTTTGTACAATGCTCAGACAATGCTATGACGTCATGAACCTGATGACGTCACAATGCTATGGCATCGCCGCACTGCAAGTCAAATGGTATTCAGACAGATCCGACACAAAGCTACAGTCAGACCCGACAAACAGCAACAGTCAGACAGACCCGACACACAGCTACAGACAGATCCGACACAAAGCTACAGTCAGAAAGCCCCGACACAAAGCTAGTCACAAAGCCCCGTCACAAAGCTACAGTCAGACAGACCCGACACAAAGCTACAGTCTGTCTGACTCTGTAAACAGATGCTGTGTGGCGGCCCTCGGTTTTATCCCTATGTAGGATTTCATCTGTCTGACTCTGACTGTTGCTGTTTGTCTGACTGTCGTTGTGTGTTGGGTCAGTCTGACTGTAGCTTTGTGTCAGGTCTATCTGTAGCTGTGTGTCGGTCTGTCTGACTGTAGCTGTGTATCGGGTCTGTCTGACTGTAGCTTTGTGTCGGGTCTGTCTGACTGTAGCTGTGTGTCAGGTCTGTCTGACTGTAGCTGTGTGTCGGGTCTGTCTGACTGTAGTCTGTGTGTCAGGTCTGTCTGACTGTAGCTGTGTGTCGGGTCTGTCTGAGTGTATCTGTGTGTCAGGTCTGTCTGTCTGACTGTATCTGTGTGTCAGGGTCTGTCTGACTGTACTGTATCTGTGTCGGGTCTGTCTGACTGTAGATGTGTGTCGTCTCAGGTCTGTCTGACTGTAGATGTGTGTCGGGTCTGTCTGTCTGACTGTAGCTGTGTGTCGGGTCTGTCTGACTGTAGATGTGTGTCGGGTCTGTCTGACTGTCGATGTGTGTCGGGTCTGTCTGACTGTAGATGTGTGTCGGGTCTCTCTGACTGTAGCTGTGTGCCGGGTCTCTCTGACTGTAGTTCACTCACTCAATCACTCACTCTCCAGCCACTGGAGAAATCGAAAACGGTAACGGCTTTGTCTGAAGAGATGTCCATGCATCACATCTATGTTCGCCTATTTCTTGTCGTCAGTGTAATAAATTGACCTCTATGTGTTTATCTATGTCAGCTACAATTGTTCGAAGTCTTCCGAAAAATCGGAATCGGAAAATGTAACGCATCCTCTACTTCCGTATGACGTATGACACATATGTCACGTATGTGGCGGTTTCGATGAGATTGTTTGTTTCCATGTATAGTTCTGTATAATTAGCATTTGTGCAGCTTGATTTGGTTCTCATTGTCTGCACACAGATATCAAAGTGCATATTACTTTGTAAATAGTAACGTTTCTAAGATACAAAGGCAAAATTATATTGATCAAGCCTCGCTGTCGGCGAGTAATGCTTAACAGGTTTAGTTTTAAAGCTAGCTCGTACACCAAGCACAAATACAATACGAACAGGTCGCCAACAATTCAGATTTTGTCTGTGTTTAGTAGCCGAGCAGTTATTTTGAAAGCAAGAGGTCCTGTGTAAATCAGAGCAGACGACATCGATGCACCCGAGAGTCGTGTTTTCATTGGTTGTGCCAAACCCGCACGTGCTCCAGGCAGCCATGACTCTGGACACTGTATTCTTTCAAGCTGAAATATTGTCTCAGCATTTTCGTATTCAACTTACAGTATCATCTAAATTGGGGGCGCAGTGGGCGAGCTGTCTAAGGCGCCAGGCTAGCTTGGAGGTGCCGGGATCGAGCCCACCTGTGACCGGGTGTAACAAACCTTGGAGTCAACTTTGTGTGCATACTCTTTCAGTGTTGTCACAGCCCCTAGTGTACAGTACACACCACTGTGCACTTAAAAGAACCCACGAATCCGTTGGTAGATGACCAGATGGTGGCCACATGAATACGTGCAAACACCTATAGTTGCGGGTACAGCAACGTGCAGTAAACTTGGACAAAGTACTGTGACTATATGTCCCAGTCCACCCAGCTGCGAATGGGTACCTCGTAAGGATGGAAAAGCCACAACTCGGTGCGCCTAGTAGACAGCAAGAGTTGTATGATCCCCAGGGAGTTGAGATAGAAAAATACGATGTGCCGTTGTGATGCATATCCAATGATCGGGGAAAATCAAAGCGCCTTTGTGTGTGTGTGTGTGTGTGTGTGTGTGTGTGTGTGTGCGTGCGTGCGTGCGTGCGTGTGTGTGTCTGTCTGAGTGTGAGAGAGACACGGTGCAATTCACTCTCTTGACAGAACACGGGATCTGCTGTCCGAATGTAATTCCCATATTTGCCTTGACAATAATCCTTGACTTGATGCACGCTACGTGTGTTCGTTTATTACACCAAAGAGGTAAACATCTACGAGGCCAACAGACCATAAATAAAAGTCTGGTTTCGTATATTTACCCTACCACCACGCCCCCAAAATAAAACAATTGCCTTGACGAGAGTCGTGTGCGTTATCAGGCATCACTGTTCTGAAACTGCGACAGCTATCCTCGTGTGAAACAGAAACTGGAATCCTGTCAAGATCATATGACAACTGGCACGAATGCTGTCACCACGATCATTTCATTACATAGCTCTCCTCCATCTTGGTTATTTGATCACATGCAGGTTAATGGTCATGATACATACATGCACGTGTAAGTTGTAACTGTACATACTTACAGTCTTTAAATGTCTAGGATATTTATGGGTAAGAAAACACAAAGACACAGGAAGTAAAAGGTAACCTATCGGGATTTACAGAATTTGGAAAATGTGTAAATGATTTAAAATGCACGCACCACTAGCGTATGTTTAAAAGTTTCTATCGGAAAGATGCTTTCCTGGGGATAACGGAATGACCGCTGTCAATATCTGTGAATTAGTTTGTTTTGTACTCGTACCTGTTACATCTCCTTACATAACACAATTAATGTTGTTTTATTGTTAATGTCACTGTGCCCTAATTCACATGGGTATTTTTGCCTATTTTCGCCAAACACATCTGACCCGAATTTCACTGTGGTTTATGAACTTGCGTACAGACTGAACCACGAAGGCCAGAACTTTGCTACCTCACAACAGAGGAACGGCCTGAGATACAGGTGTGACAGGGCTAACAACCTGATATACAAGTGTGACGGGGGAACGGCCTGAGGTACAGGTATGACGGGGCAACTACCTGAGATACAGGTATGACAGGGCTAACGACCTGATATACAAGTGTGACGGGGGAACGACTTGAGGTACAGGTATGACGGGGCAACTACCTGAGATACAGGTATGACAGGGCTAACGACCTGATATACAAGTGTGAGGGGAACGACTTGAGGTACAGGTATGACGGGGCAACTACCTGAGATACAGGTATGACAGGGCTAACGACCTGATATACAAGTGTGACGGGGAACAACTTGAGGTACAGGTATGACGGGGCAACTACCTGAGATACAGGTATGACAGGGTTAACGACCTGATATACAAGTGTGACGGGGGAACGAATTGAGGTACAGGTATGACGGGGCAACTACCTGAGATACAGGTATGACAGGGTTAACGACCTGATATACAAGTGTGACCGGGAACAACTTGAGGTACAGGTATGACGGGGCAACTACCTGAGATACAGGTATGACAGGGCTAAGGATCTGAGATACAGGTGTGGCGGGGGAACTCTCTGATGTACAGGTATAACGAAGAAAGGGCCTGAGATAAAGGTATGACGAGGCAACGACCTGAAATACAGGAGTAACAGGGGAATGACTTGAGGTACAGTTATGACTGGGGAACGACCTGAGGTACAGGTGTGACAGGGGGAACGACTTGAGTTACAGGTGTGACAGGGGCAACAACTTGAGGTACAGGTGTGACAGGGGAACAACTTGAGGTACAGGTGTGACAGGGGCAACAACCTGAGTTACAGGTGTGACAGGGGAACGACCTGAGGGACAGGTGTGACAGGGGAACAACTTGAGTTACAGGTGAGACAGGGGCAACAACTTGAGGTACAGGTGTGACAGGGCAACAACTTGAGGTACAGGTGTGACAGGGGAACAACTTGAGGTACAGGTGCGACAGGGGAACAACTTGAGGTACAGGTATGACAGGGGAACAACTTGAGGTACAGGTGTGACAGGGGAACAACTTGAGTTACAGGTGTGACAGGGGCAACAACTTGAGGTACAGGTGTGACAGGGGAACAACTTGAGGTACAGGTGTGACAGGGGAACAACTTGAGTTACAGGTGTGACAGGGGCAACAACTTGAGGTACAGGTGTGACAGGGGAACAACTTGAGGTACAGGTGTGACAGGGCAACAACTTGAGGTACAGATGTGACAGGGGAACAACTTGAGGTACAGGTGTGACAGGGGAACAACTTGAGGTACAGGTGTGACAGAGGAACAACATGAAAGGGGAACAGGGGAACAGCTTGAGGTACAGGTGTGACAGGGGAACGACTTGAGGTACAGGTGTGACAGGGGGAACAACTTGAGTTACAGGTGTGACAGGGGCAACAACTTGAGGTACAGGTGTGACAGGGGAACAACTTGAGTTACAGGTGTGACAGGGGCAACAACTTGAGGTACAGGTGTGACAGGGGAACAACTTGAGTTACAGGTGTGACAGGGGCAACAAGTTGAGGTACAGGTGTGACAGGGGAAGAACTTGAGGTACAGGTGTGACAGGGGAACAACTTGAGTTACAGGTTTGACAGGGGCAACAACTTGAGGTACAGGTGTGACAGGGGAACAACTTGAGTTACAGGTGTGACAGGGGAACAACTTGAGGTACAGGTGTGACAGGGGAACAACTTGAGGTACAGGTGTGACAGGGGAACAACTTGAGGTACAGGTGTGACAGGGGCAACAACTTGAGGTACAGGTGTGACAGGGCAACGATTTTATGTACATGTGTGACAGGGGAACAACCTGAGGTACAGGTGTGACAGGGGAACAACCTGAGGGACAGGTATGACGGGGGAACGACCTGAGGCTAACGTTTAATTTGTTTTTTTTACACTCGTTTGTTTGTTTAACGCAGCACTTAACAATATTTCAGCCCTTATAACGACTGGCTGAAAATAATTGACTGCGGTCTAGACAATCCAGAGATCCACGTCATGAGTATCGATGAACGCAGTCGGCATACGATGAGATACATCAGCAGAGTAAGTAAGTCTGGTTCCCGTTCATGGGTTGTGGAGGTATGCGCGAAGACGTGCTAAAATTTCCATAGGTTGTGTTAAAAATGTACCCAAAAGGTCAACAATAACGGCCACATCAAATCCCTGATAACAATATTAGAAGACCTTTGGTTATTGATGATAACATTGTTACAAGAACATGTGATAACAGCGGTATCACACAGCCATACCAACACAGTATCGTCTGGGTACACAGTCAATAAACCGGGAGTACGTCAAGAGCTTGTATGGAAACAGAAACAGTGTTGTCCCTTGATACTTCCAGTGACGGACATGAAGGTGAACGTGTGCCTTGTCCTCATCTACATGAGCGTGGGGTTCATGGATGGCAGGTTCCTCGTCGAAGAAGACACAAATACAGTTGTCATTTTCTCCGGAGAGTTAAAGATTGAGTTATGGAAGAACCCGTATCACATGGTTGTGTACGACAACACTACAGGGAAATCTATAGTCACCGAACGTTCTGATAAAGGACATCGTCTTGGTTATGGAAGGTGGGTGGGGGAATATTTCCACATCTATGAAGGTTATTTATGGAGGCTAGGGGACATCGTGGAATGGTACGAGGCCACAAGCCTTGTTTCGGTTAGTTACGGCTCCAATGACGTCACGGCATACATCGCCACCGACGACCCGAAGAACACAACGATTGAGTTGAGACTGTACGACCTGTGTCAAAGACAGATGTCCTTCTCCTTCACAATACCCGACGAGTCCATGAACAGAGTGAGGTGGACATTAGACACCCCTGACAGCCAACACGAAGGGTTCTATGGGTTTGGCGAGCGCTTCAACTCTCTGGATCAAAGGTTATACAAGGTCGGGTGCTGGACGCAGGACGGAAGTTTCAGTATCGGCAAACTCTTTCCCAACTTCCGGTTTCCTGGAGGTGAATCCAGTACGTATGTACCCATGCCGCTGTTTCTGTCCACGAAAGGGTACGGCTTCCAAATGGACACAACATACAGGGTAGAATTTGAGTTTTCCCACGTTTATATTGCTGAAATTCAAATAGAATCGAACATTTTTGCAGCAACACTGTTTGGGGGTCATAATGTCAGAGACTCCTTCAACAGAATCATCGAGACGAATGGGCGCTCACTTATACCGCCAAAATGGGCGTTCGGACCGTGGAACCAGCTAGACGATGAGGTGGCGGGAGTCAATATGTCACAACGCACCGACGATATGCTGTTTAAGTATGACATTCCCTTTTCAATGAACGTTAATACAATTCATTTTCTCCCAGGAGGGGTAAACGAAAGCCAGTACGCCCAAATCCTAGCTCGGAACGAGAAACTGCTGAACATGGGGATCCCTTCTACGGCATACTTTAACCCAATGGTTGAAACCTCCTACAGTGACACCTACAACGAGGGTGCAGCCAAAGGATACTTCACCAAGAATGAGACTGGAGATCCCTACCAGTTCCTGTACATAGCCGCCCACATATTCCGGGTGTCGCAGGTCGACTTCACCAACCCCGACGCCGTCACCTGGTACCAGGGTCTTCTCCAGCAAGGAATGGACCTCCAGTTTAAGGGCTGGATGTACGACTACGGCGAGTACACGCCGTCTAACTCTGTCAACAGTCTCAACCAGTCGGGTTTGGAGTCGCACAACGAGTACCCGCTGCTCTACCAGAAAGCCTGTTTTGACCACCTGACAGCAAACAACACACCCGGGTCCCCCTACGCCCCTGATTATGTATACTATGTCAGATCCGGCTACACTGGATCCCAGAAGTACACGTGGGCTCACTGGACTGGGGACCCGTCTACGGACTGGTCCCAAGGCAGCGGGATGATTGCACAGATGAGGGGAAGTCTTAACATTGGTATTTCCGGTATGCCCTTCTCGGGTTCTGATATTGGCGGGTATGAGTGGTACACAAACCGGGCTCCGAGCCTGGAACTGTGGGTTCGGTGGACACAGCTTGGAGCCTTCAGTGGACTGATGCACGAGCAGGGGGGCGGGAAGGGCATAGGGGCCAAGACACACATATTCGACACCCCCGTGGGAACACAACTCTGGAGAAAGTTTGCTAAACTAAGAACGCAGTTGTTTCCATACATCTACACACAAGCTCATACCGCTCACGAGACGGGCCTTCCGCTGATGAGGGCACACATTCTGGAGTTTTATGACGATCCAGAGGCTTTACTTCCGGAGGACCAGTACATGTTTGGAGACAGTATCCTAGTCGCCCCAATACTCAATGAAAACTGGACAGGTAGGACGGTGTACCTGCCCAAAGGAGAAACGTGGATAGATATCAGCAGCAACATGACGTATGACGAATCTGATGGGAGATTCCGCATCGGACAGTCGGAACCACTTGAGGGAGGCAAGTTTGTAACAATTAGTGCTCCATTAGATACTATTCCTCTGCTAGTTCGGGCAGGGTCAATCATCCCAGCGTTCGATCCCCGCGTCCAAGTTCTGAGGACAGCACCACACCCAAACGTTACCGGATATGACGAAATAAAGACTCTGTACTTGTGGGTGTGGCCAACGTCGACTGACTCATCGTCAGGACATGACTGGCAGGACAACACCTTCAGCACGTCGCCGATGTCGTCGTCGGTGGGGAAGGGTTTCGACGTAGCTCTGAACGTGACGTCGGCTAATTATGACACTGTTATTTGTCAGATTGCCATCAATGGAGGGCGGTCAGTGAATTCGGTGACGGTTGTTGGTGGAGGTTCATCACTTACGGAGGTGTCCACGTGGCAGGCTGTTGTCGATGATGCAGAAACCGCCGTTGGAGCTTGGACGTTTGATACCCAAAGACATATTCTCTGGATTAAAGTTAGCACCAAACCTATTGTCATTAACGCTTTGTATACAGAATAGTCTTCGATAAGTCTTTGTTCTATGCTATTTTTTACAATTTTTTCTGGGAGAGATATTAAGGACAGCACGGGATCAGTGTCCTCTCGTCCGTCTACTGGTGGCATGTTGTCGGCGCTAGCTAGGACCTGAAAAAACACGGACGATGTGTGTACCATTTCTGATTTAGATTTATTTATGGCATTAAAATACTTTAACTTGAATTGGTTGTCGAAAATACATAACAATTGAAACAAAATTCACATTGATTGTTTTTTATATGTTGGCAATCAATTTTGACTTTTGTAGAAAATGATATCACAAAATGTATTTTTCCTTTAATCGTCACCTGAATACTTTCTTTTGAACATGTTTCATCGGTGGAATGCATATCAATTGCGCAGCCACTGGGGCACAGTGGTGTAGTGGCTAGCATACTGACCTCTCACGCCAAAGGCCCGGGTTCGAATCCCGGTGGAGACACCATAATTTGAGACCTGGGTCTCATACTGTGTTGTGTCCCTGGGCAAGGCACTTCGTTCACATTGCACTCAGTCCACTCAGCTGTTTAAATTGGGTACGGACCTATACGATCGCGCTAAGCGCTTAGTAGCTGCTTTGAAAGTACAATTCCGTCAGGGTAATATTGTAACGCCAGAGAACAGCATTGCGTTGGATCCCAGGCGCAAATATTAGCTTTAATAATCGCCATTTACACTTAATGGATTCTGAACTGGGTCTTGATCATTTGTTCTTATGACAAACAGGGTGTGGCCAAGGCTCTGCTTCACGCAAATACTTATATTGGAGTTTGAACGGGATCTCGACAAGAAAACGTTATTGTAGGTGCCGGCTGTGTTGGTGATGCTGCCAGATGTTGCCGCTCAGCGTTCATACCTGTAATCCTGTTTCCTTGTTTTACGCCGGAGACTCCTAGGTTTCCTGCGATCTGCGAAAATATAACAGAACTGAATTACAAAATATTATTGTCAAGTATTTTTACTGTACGTAGTTTTCAGGATTCGGATAGCAATACATGGCCGGTTGTGGCGCATACTGTCGCCACAGGTCAAACGGCGCTGTGGGCATTGAAATGTACGGGTTTGGGTTTTTTTAAAAATAAAATAACGGGTCACTTCTCGGTGTAGGTTACACTCACAGGGGTTCGAATCACTGTTTGGACAATAATTTTTTAAATAAAAATCTACACTTTTGCAACCGTATATTGTTTGTATATGTTATGTGTAACTTATATTTCAAATTTGAACGAAATCGGTGAAGAAATGGATTTTTTAGAAAATTCTCCCGCTACACTTATAGTCCGTTTGGCTCAAAATCGGACCGATGAATTGCAATCTAACTCGAAAACTACTAAACATATAATACTCAATGAAGCACAGATCATAATCAAAACATCAAGAATAAAAAAGTTGTTTAACAAACTATCATTAAAATTTTGACACAGTTCACTATTTGTTACGAGGGAGGACTGCAAAGAGAGAAACAGCCAGGTGTACGCGGAGCACGTGCACAAGTGCCGACAAAGTTATTGAATCATTTACCTGTGCTGTCTCCATCCTTTCTCGCACACCTGGCTGTTCCTCCCTTTGTACCCTTCCCTCGTAACAAACAGTGAACTGTGTGAAAATATTAATGATAGTTTGTTAAACAACTTTTTAATTTTTAGGACTTAAATTCTGCAAAAATATCACAGAGTTGGTCTGATGTTTTGATTATGATCAGTGTTTCATTGACTATTATATGTTTGATAGTTTTCGAGTCAGATTGCGATTCATCGGTCCAATTTTGAGCCAAACGGACTATACATAAAATACTCTAATAATTATGTATATTATACTGTGCTGTATTTGATGTAAGTGTAGCGGGAAAATTCGGTATGGATTCTTATACCGTTGTCAAGAATAAGTGTCTTGCTTGACAACGGTATAAGAATCCATACCGAAACGTTTCATCATATATAATAAAGAAGGTGTTATCCATAAAGAATCTTACTTTCTTATTACTCACCAACTTCTAAAATGCCAATCAAACAGATTAAACCGTACAGGCAGATTGTAAGAGCGCATCAGTCAGTGTGCGTGGTCATACAGAGTTGCGTCCCTTACACCTGGCAGACGACATTTACTTTCCAAATGGGGAGGCACGAAACACAAGATTTCGGACCAACAGGCGGTTGCAAAGGTGCGTGTTTCAAATTGTTGTTGAATTGTCATAGTTTTCTGAAAATCATTAAGCTTTTGTTTTAAAAAATACAAGATGCCACCATAAATAGCACTTGAATGCATATATTCTTTTCCACTTCAGAGTTCATCAATATTTCTTTCAGTTTCATTTGACATATCAAATTTTTCCCGACAATAGAAATTTGACCAACTTCGTTTTTCACTTCACAAGTATGTCTTTATACAGGAGATTCTAGGTTATAGATGACTTTACCTTATCAAGGGGAAAAGTTGGGTGGCCGAATGGTTGAAGTGTTCGCTTGCCATACTGACTTCATGGGTTTGATACCCGAGAGCTGTGTGGGAAGCCCATTTGTCTGTTTGACATTTGTTGCGTTAAGACTTTCGCCTTTATCCCCTTAAAATTTAAGGATGAAGAATTACTCAGATAGTATGATTTGACTAGGAGCCAAATTTAAGGGGGGATACAGATGGAAGACCACTATGTGGGTACCATAGGGGACTAGTCGATGTATCGATTCCCCAGATCTGTGCAGTGTGGGAAGCCCATCTCGGGGTTGCAGCCCTTGGGCATGACAGAAACATGGGTTTGACTTCCAGTTTTCCCCTGATTGTTTCTTGGTTTGCCTCCACCATGCATGTTTGTGAGGGGTTTTCTCCAAAGTTGTAAATTTCTCTGGACATTGGTGCTACAGATCATCCCTGCTGAATGCAGTAACTCCATTATTACCCCAGTCAGGAGTCAGTGGCTGTGTCATGTTATAATTGTGATGACACTCTCTGAGTAAAGTACAGATTCTAGGACTTTTCGGGATCCGAGTCCCACCTGGGATTCAAACTCACACTGTCAGACTAGGGCACTTACTCGCTTGTTTGATTATCTGAGAGCATATTGAGAAAGGAACTCAGTATCCAGCAAGTAGTCAGCCTTATGAACGGTATGTTGTAACTAAACATTACACAAGTTCTGTGAGAGTCCCAAAGTTATTCTTCAGGGAAGTAGTACTTTCTGATCGAATCGTACATTAGCTGTACTGGGTTAAACCGTGTATGATCAACACGTAATTGGACCTTCGACTCTGTCTTTTGAAATCTTGGTCGAAACTTGTGATTTTTTTACTGAAGTACTTATTAGATAATAATATAATTTTCCTGAAATATGAAAAGGGAGCATATTTGGTATTATTATTTTGGTTAAGAAAAACCATGTGGACTTACAGTTAGTTTTGCATCCATAATTTCATCGAAATTTAATTCTCACTCACTCATTCCAACCAACCCACTGACTCACTCACTCACTCACTCACAGTCGGGGTGGGTGGGTGACAGCCAAGGGGTGTCAGCTCATCAATGTAGATGGGGTCTGTTAAGCCTGTGACATATATGACATGATTATTGGTAAACTGGATGCAAACTCATTCATGCACAGATTGACAATCAAAGCTTTGTGTTGAGAAGTCATGTAACTTTAAAGAAAAGGACTTTGTTTGGTGTTGTAGAATTTTTACACTCTTTACCCAATCGCTGCAAAATGTTTCCAGTGTATAATTGTTAAAACCGATGTAACGCCCACCCATTGACACCCACTCTCTACCCACACACATACCCACACTCTACCCACACACCTACCCTCAGTTTCTGATCAATCTCCAACAATACCTGTAACAGGACAGGCAGTGTATTTGCATCTTAGCTTTTTTATGGGCTGATCAGATATTCGTAAACAACCATTTTTAGAACTGTTGGCCGAACTGAAAATAAAAAAGACTACAATGAATCAATTCCTGGGAGTATCGTAAAATATTCTTGTGGCTTCAAGAGAAATCAATACAATTACCCAGTCTACCATACAAAGAACTGAAATGGCCACACGTGAGATTTATAGCCAGCCACGCATTTCTGTCTGTGTTCCACATCTCCGATCATATCCTTTGATTTACACACAGAATAATTACGCAGTATTTACCTGCGTGACTTGTCACTTCATTAACACATCTTTCCATCCCGTGTGTTCCCCCTGAAACAGAGAGCCGAGTCGGTATTGTGTGGGGAGTGTGTGGAACTCCACCTCACGGAGTCTGATGTGTGTGCTGGACATTACGGAACAATGTCGTAGCGAATCAGGCTGTTAATACAGACATAATCAGAGAGATTATGTTACCCTAACCCAAGCAAGTCATGAGTATACAGAGAGTTATTACAGGAACACCTTCAGGCGAGATCTGTTGTGTGTTGCCAGGATTACCGACATAATGTATGTTTTTTGTGTTGAAGCTGATTCCTTTATGAAATGGGTTTGTGTCATACAAGACTTGTATTGGAAGGATTAGTTTAATAGATTTTGGGTAAAAAGTGCCACCTTTGAACTATTTGACATTTCTGTCTCACCAATATATTTTCCTGTTTTTAGTATTGATTATTCCTAAATGTTTTGAAAGTTGGAAAGTTGTTTTGAAACAAGAATATGTCATATTGATAAAGTAAAGGCCCATTCACAGTTTCAGGCTGTCTTTAATTTTTCTGTACCTAATGTAATTGACAGGATACAGGAAAATCATGGCATATATGCAGACCTCGCTTACAGAATGTCCCATTGCACCCCAATTTCCAAGTTTTTCGACTTCACAATGTGTGATGGTTTGGTACCTCCTAATCTCTTGACTGACATTGGGAGAGCACCCCAGATTGCTGCCTGGAACACAGCCTTTCTAACACTCTGGGAGCTGGGTAATGCAGGAAGTTGCTGTACTGGTGTAAAGTTTTGTTAAGAATTCACCAATTTTCACTGAGTTTCATCATTTATTGAACTCATGACAACACTCTTTTCAATGTTACGAATTTGTTTTACAATACATCAGTTCATGTGTAAAACAGTATCTCTAAACAGTATGGAATATTGTACAAAATCTAGTTTAGAACAGTTGACTGAAGTAAGTGGCTACATTTACCATAGTGAGTCTAAACCTTTGATGGGTAGTATAGAAAAGATGACTGTTCAATTATCTCTTTTACAGATTCTC